GGGATTCTCAGTACTCAATCCGCTGCCGTTGCTAAAGCTGCCCCTGATTACTAATCTACAACATGGGAAAGCCCTGTCCCTAGCAACAGGGGAAACCAAAAGCCAAAAGCAGAGACACCCTGTAGCCAGTAGCCTGTAGCTTTTCTTTGGCTATTGTTTTGTTGCCACCGCAATTCAATTGAAATCATTTATGTCAATTTACAATAAATAATACCCAAAGAATACAGAGAGAATACCGACACTTTATCTCTCTCTCTCTCTCTCGCTCAATAAATGAAACTGCGAGTGCAAGTGCGATTGCGAGAGTGAAAATTGCATAATTGTACAACGAATGAGCGACCTTCGCCTTCGCTTTTGCCGGCAGCCAAAGCACTACCATCACCATCACCATCGCCATCGCCATGACCATCACCAGAAGAGGGCAAAAACAAACTATAAAGTTAATCGGAGAAAATGGTATGCTATCGGGGGTATTATGTACGAAAGCGGGAGATGTCATAAAGGGAGGCAAGGCGGCGGGGGCGGGGGGCGTTGCATCGACTGAGCGAGAGCTAAGGTGAAGTGACATTTGAGCGACAGAGGGCAGAGCAGTTCCAAGGACACGCTGGTCTCTTGTAATGTACGAGTGTATCCTTTCATCAGCCAGCAACCTGTCACGCACAGTCCTGACAGTCACCCACTTCTGCTCAACTCCCACATCATTAACATATAAATGCGTAGAACGTTAAGCGTGGAGCGTGGAGCGTAGAGCGTGGAGCGCAGCTCCATTCAGCCATGGGCTAGATACAAATGTATCTGTCAGACACAGACCCCAAACAGAGGCCAGGCTCGAGCGGCTCAAACGCGTTGCATACTAAGCAACAAGCAACAAGTACAGAACGCCAGAGAACAAGGTAAAACAAGTCACAGTCCCAGCCACAGTCCCAGCCACAGCCGCCGACGCGCGCGACACAAACTGCGTCATCCATGCTAGGTATATACGTATCTATGAGATGTATCAGTGCCCGTGCACATGTATCCGACAGATATGTACATCCCGAATGAACGAACAAGCATATGTAAGAGCCAAAGAGACAAAAAGGCAAAAAGGCGAAAGAAAAGCTGAAAAGCTGAACGGCGTAAAAAACGAAACAAAGCACATTGACTGCACACAACGCCTCGTATGCGCAATTTTCATTTTCATTAACAAAGAAAGTGCCCCGCTATACCCCTGCACTCCTCGCCCGCCGCTGTTTGAGAGGGGGGAGGACACACGGAGAGGAAAGCGCTGGAATAGGAGGTGTTAAGGGGGCGGTAGCATGGCTTTTATTGAACTGCCCAGAGTCATCACCGTGGCCGTCGCTTGGTTCATTCAACCTTTTTACTGGAATAAAAAAAATGCCACAAGATGTGGCAAGAGAAGGAAGCTGCTTCTTTCTCCTTCCCTGTTCTATCTGTGAGACCTTCTGCCCCATGGATTGTCACGGATGGTTGTGCTGCCATCATTCATTCCGAACATCTGTAATATATAGTCCCCCATCGATTACCCTCCTTCCCGGCTGGCCCTTGGCTGCTTCGGCTTCTGCCCATTGATTGCGCCTCCGTCCTGCCACCTCTAGAATGTTCTGTGTTTTGGCCCCATTCCCAGAGTGTGGGAATGCACCCAGCATTCTTGTCAAATGGTGCAACTAATTTAAAAACACCTGCTGCCGCTTGTGGGGGCGTGTCACCTGAATTCCTCCGCTCTCTCCACCATCCCTTCCCCTTCCGGCAAAGCGTGCCACGCGTAGGACGAACTAAGCCATGTCCTGGCCGTACGTTTTGCATTTCATGTTCCATGCATTTATAATTTAATCCTATATACCAGGAGGCACACGCGCTGTTGCTGTGGTTGTTGCTGTGGCTTTTGCTGTGGCTATTGCTGTGGCTATTGCTGTGGCATTACAGTTTTGCTCTGCGTCCGCCTCCTGCCGTATTATATTTCCCGTTGAGGGCTTCTTATGCACGCGCCTTTCACTAAACAGCAATTTCCTTTGCACAGCAGAAAGATTCAAGCAAAATGTGGAGGCGTTGGCCATTTGAGCTCTTCTAATGCGCTAATCATAGGGGAAGCTTGCAATTCAACTTATGCCACAAAAAGGGAGGCAGGCACAAACTTAAGGCAAGAGCAGGGCAGGAGTCATAGGCACCGGGCAATGCCAGGAAGAGGCATCTATAGCGCCCTCTGGCGTTGACCCACAATATCGAGTACATGCCCCCAATGTGTGTGTGAGTGCGCGCCCTTAAGAGTGTACATGTATGTGTGATTGTGACATGGAATTTTTATGAATGACATTGACCGACCAACAACCACCCAAAGGAAGACATATAGACCGACCGTGCTTGTACACTTCTTAAGCCACCCTTTGAGCGAGCCCCCCTCTCTTGCTCTTTCTCTTTCTCTCGCTCTCGCTCTCGCTGCTCTCAGCGGCACATCGGCACAGCGCCATTCCGCCTCAAGAATCTCTTAAGAAGAACAAAAAACACACAAAAGTGGTCTACGTCTACGACCATAGCACATGGCACCACCGACAACAAAGTACAACACAAAAAACTGTTATAAACCAGAAACCAAAGCACATTTTTGTACGATTTTTATGGCCTGGCAACAAACGCGTGACGCAGAAATGAAGGGCTGAAATATTGAGATACTCGTGGAGGGACAAAACCGGCGGCAGCGGTGGTGGTGGGGGGTAGCGGGGGCTTATCGCGGTCTCCGTGTCGAATGCAGTTTATAGGTGGAAAAACGTTAAGATAATGTACGGATTATACAATCTTCGCACTCGAATGGTAGTTTTGTCGGCGCCTAAAAGGCGGCATACGAAAAACCAATTCTCACACACGCACAACCCCATGCACACACACACACACACACACACACACACACGCACACACGGATGCGTAGGATTGAAAAGTAAAAGTCTTTGGGGGTCGGTCGGAAAGAAAGGTTAACCTTTAACCTAAATCGCAACTAAAGAGCGCAACAGTTTCTCGTGCGCTCTTTGCTTCGGGGCTTACGCTCCTCTGTCATATGAAAGAACTGTTATACAGGCCGTTTGGTCGCCATGTGGCGCGCCAGCGGCTACCGGTTTTTCAGGCTTTCCCTCGGCAACAGAAACAACAATTCAGAAAATCCCACCCCTTCAGACGAGAGGTTGGTAGGGGGTTGGTTTGCCCAAATCTCTGTGTGAGAATTCCTCCTCGATTGTGTTCTCTGCTCGACTCTCTGCTGTTCAATCAGCTGTTCAGTTCGGGCTGTACGAGAACCAAACCAAACCAAATCAAACGCAACGGCAACCCTTGCAAAGCCAAAGGCACATCATATACCTGCAAAGCCAAAGAGAGCTACAGCTAGCATTCACCTGAGGGAGAGAGAGAGAGCGATAGAGAGAGCTTCCTCCACATGGCGGCTCGTGAGAGTGGAGCTTGCGCTCTGTGAGCTTGAACTTCAAATGCATTCTAACACCGAGAGACAGAACGAGAGAGAGACATTCAATTTTCGCATTTGTATTTTTTGTTTTATGCTGTTTTTACAACGTTTTTCAAATTGTCTTTGTTGCTGCTACTGCTACTGCTGGTGCTGGTGATGGTGCTGCTGCTGCTGCGAGCTTTGTATATCGTATAACAGTGGCAGTGGCACTGTCACTGCTGCTGCTGCTGCTGCTGCTGCTGCTGCCGCCCCTTGGCTTTTGGTTACGACGAATTTTCATTCCGCAGCGAACGGCGCACCAGTCAAGAACAGAACGTGGAACATTGACGGAGAGACCGAGACGCGGAGCGACGTGTGTTCTGTGTTCCTTATTATTTTTGTTGGCATCTCTCTATATATCTCCACCGCCAGCACCATCACCACCACCACCCTCCTCCTACCCCCACTCGTCTCAAGCGGGCTGCACAAAGAAAAAGTCAAAATTATTTGAATTGAAAATTGCAACAAAAACCAAACAACAACAGCTGGGGGTTTGGTTCGAGGCGGAAAATGCAAATGCAGCTGAAAGTGTCCGGACGCGTGAATGTTGTGTGTTGACGATGAGAACCACGTAAGCTCGGCGTGAGTGTCCCGCCGCCCCCACCCCTTCTCCCCCCCTCCGCCCCTCACCAGTGCCGCGTGTGGTGTGGTTCTTCTGTGCTTCACCGCCGCTCCGACATTTATCGATCACAACGCCGCTTCTTCCGTTAGGCGGAGGACGTTCTTTAAACCAATATTCAATGCTCAACGAAACTCAAAGACACCAATAAATTATACAATTGCAGTGGCAGTGGCTATTACGACGTACAGCGCTACGTACCTATCCTATCATCGAGAGTACCGTACGTACGTACACGTACAGCACCCCCGAAAAACCATCAGTGCCGAAAAGCACATGAACTAGAAGCAGAAGCAGAAGCAAAGGCAAAGAAATAACCAAATTAAAAGCAAAGACAGAAGGCAGCAGCAAGAGAAAAGCTAAGAACAAAAAAGAAAGAAAAAAAAAGTGCAAAGTAAGGGAAATCTCGGGAAGGAAGGAAGCTGAAGCTACTACCAAAACAAAACATTCTGCCGTGACCTCAGCGATGCAGCTGCAAGTGCAACGGTAAAACAGAAGTAAACCAAAAATAAAGCAAACAACCAGATATAGAAGCAAAAGCACAGCACAAAACGTGACAAATTGCAAATACAAAAAACAACTTAAAAATCCCCATAAATAAATATTCGAAAATATTTGAAAATCTAGAAAAAATATTCCGATTCTCAATAGAAGCACAAGCACAACGCGTGACTTGAGATAGTTTTTAAAAGATTTAAAAGTATTAACTAATTTTTAGTGTAAAGCTCAAAGTGCACATAGACCGAGAAGCGACGCGAACAGCAGCAGAAGCAGAGACCTTATAGATATTTTGAATATATGCACACGGCCTACGCCTATCTATCGCTTAATAAATAAATAAATTTATTTATCAAAAGTAAATGAAAGCAAAAACAAAACTCAATAACAATTGACAAAAACAACAGCCAGCAAGCCAGCCAGCCAGCACACACACACACATAACGGCGCATGCAGTCGCAGTAAGAGCCAGAGAGAGAGGGAGTGAGAGTAAAGCCCAATATTAGAAAAGAGCGAGTGCAAAAGCTTGGGAGAGGGAGAGAACAGTGGCAAAACGCTTGCTGCTGCTTGCTGTCCGAGGGGGTGAGCCAGAGAGCTACAGAACGATAGCGTGAGAGAGAGAGAGAGAGCAGCAGACAAGATAAAAACACAGTCAACGTCGGCAACGGAATTCTCGACATCGAAATCGACGTCGACATTCGGCATCGGCATCGGCACAGGCATCGCAGTCGAAAACGGGAACGGGAACGGGAACAGACGAGGCGCGGGCGCACACACTTCTTCCTCCTCGCGTGTTGCTTCTCCAACCATTCTCTCCTTGCACTTGCACTCTTTCCTTTCACTCCGTCGCGTGTGCGTGTGCATTAACGGAATAAACGCATCAGAAGTACCGCTCCAGAATGTTGGATACCAATGGCGGAAGTAATACCGCGGTGTCGGGCAACTCTGCGGCACGCCTGCGCAAATTCGATAGGACGGACAGCGAGCTGGCCTGCGAGGAGGCGGCCCGCTTGACCGCCGAACAGAACGACAGTCCAGAGGACGAGAACGACGAGGAGAACGAGGATGAGGACGATGAGAGCGAGTATGGGGAGCTGCCGCCACCGCCGGACGGTGGCTATGGCTGGGTCATCTGCTTTGCCAGCTTCATGTGCAACATGATCGTCGACGGCATTGCCTACACTTTCGGCATCTTCCTGGAGGAATTTGTGGCCTACTTTCACGAGGGCAAGGGCACCGTGGCCTGGGTGGGGAGTCTCCTCTCCGGGGTGTACCTTAGTGCCGGACCCATCGTCTCGGCGCTGGCCAATAAATACGGCTGTCGAGCGGTGTGCATCGCTGGGAGCATCATTGCCTGCATCGCCTTTGTTTTGAGCACTTTCAGCAATTCCGTGAGCATGCTGATGGCCACCTATGGATTCCTGGGAGGATTCGGCTTTGGAATGATCTATCTCCCGGCGGTGGTGGCCGTGGGCTACTACTTTGAAACGAAGCGTTCGCTGGCCACGGGCATTGCGGTGTGTGGCTCTGGGTTCGGCACCTTTGCCTTTGCCCCACTCGCCACGTACCTGCTGGAGGAGTATGGCTGGAAGAATGCCATCCTCATCTTTGCCGGCCTTATCCTCAATTGCGCCATCTTTGGCGCCATGATGCGACCCCTCACGTACCCCAAGAAGAAGAAGGTGAAGCCCCTGATGCAGCGCATGTACGAGGAGAAGCAGCTGCAGCTGGAGCGTGGTTCGTTCGCGGGTTCGCATTTTATGGTCCAGCTGCCGGATGGCACCATGGAGCGGAAACTCAAGATGCCCCTCAACGCAGACCCTGGCGTCCATTCGAGCCTCAACCTGGAGCTGATGGCCCAACAGGCGGGCGGCCTGCATCCCGTTTCGACGCTACCAACCATCACCGAGTCCAAGGTGGTTGATGTGCACCACAATGGAAGCGGCGCCCAGTCCCCGCCCAATGCCGACAGCAATGGACAGCTCTCTGCCGGTGGCCGCGGGGGTCGTCGGCCGCATCGCAGCTCCGAGTCGGATCACAGTCCGTACCACTCACAGGATGGCGGAGCCATGACCAGAAACGCCTCGCAGCCCGCCTTTCTGGCCAGCGACCATCAGGGTCTGCCCAAGAACGGTTCAGTGCCTTCATTCAATCGCGTGCGCAAGACCTCGGCATCGGAGCGCTTTCAACCCTCGCTGGCGGCCATCAGAGCCTCGTCCCGCCACGATCTGGAGGCGGGAAATGGCGGAGATTTCACCACCTCAAAGATGTCGCTCTCCCAGCGGCAGGGCAGCAGTGGGAGCGGCAAAATGGTGCGACCCATGTCCCGCAAGGACATCTTCTACTCGGGCTCTGTCACGAACCTGCCGCAGTATCAGTCGCAGAAGTCCCTGGCTGGCTATCGAAACTCTGTTCTGTCCCTCACCAAGTACGAGAAGAGCATGCAGAGTGTCCACAAGCTGGACCCCCTGCAGGACGCCGAGAAGCATCGCGAGGAGTACGACCTGTGCCCGTGTCTGGGCATCCCCGATTCGGTCAAATCCGTGGTGAACACCATGCTGGACGTGAGCCTGCTCAAGGATCCCGTATTCATGCTGATTGGAGTGTCGAATATCTTTGGCATGGCCGGACTGTACGTGCCCTTTGTGTATCTGGTGGATGCGGCAAAGGAGCACGACATACCCAAGAGCGATGCCGCCATGCTGCTGTCCATCATTGGCATCACCAATACAGTGGGTCGCGTGTTCTGCGGCTGGGTGGCGGATCTGCCGCAAGTCAACTCATTGCTGCTGAACAACTGCTGCCTCCTGGTGTCGACCATCGCCGTGACCCTCACCCCCCTGTGCTACAGCTACTCGGCGTACATCACGATGTCGATATTCTTTGGCCTCGCCATCTCCGGCTACATCTCGCTAACGTCAATTATCCTGGTCGATCTGCTCGGCCTGGACAAGCTCACCAATGCCTTCGGCCTGCTCATCCTGTTCAGAGGATTCGCTGCTCTGATCGGCACCCCTCTGGCCGGCGCCATCTACGACATAACGCACACGTACGATCTGCCCTTCTACATGGCTGGCGCTCTGTTTGCCATCTCGACGGTCACCAGCTTTTTGGCCCCCTGCCTGAAGCGATGCAGCCCCTCGGATGAGACGCCCGTCCATGTCGAGACCCTCACGCCCATCGATGAGGAGCAGGATGAGGAGGCGGAGGATGACGAGGATCAACCCATCACCATGGTGCCCAAGATCATCAAAACTCTGGCCAGTCCGCAGCAGGAGGAGCCGCCACAGCCGATGTTCCCGCAACAACAGAAGAAGGCCCCAGCAGCAACGACATCGGAATCAAAGCTCTAAGTATTCGAGAAGGAGATGAGTTTTGGAGGGGGGCGTGGCACGGAAAAGAGATGAATTTACATACGAAAGAGGGCAAACGCCAGGGGGAACCGAACCTATTGAAAGATCCAGCCAGATATTTTTCTAAAGCTTATATACAGAAAGCGGGTCGATAGATATGGGAAAGAGTATTGTAGAGAGAGGGGAAGAAAGAGAGAGAGAGAGATCACACACACACAAAAGTAAAACCTATATACAAGGATCATAAATATATATACATATATATATATGCATGTACTATTAAAGCCCCAGCAGCAGCGGCAGCAACTATTACCAACAGCAGCAGAATAGAGGATTGCCTTATGCTGGAATTTCTACAAGGAACTTGGCTTTAGCTTTCAGATAAGATTCCGGGGCGAAGGGGAAATACCTTCGGCTTTTATGGCTACTAATTAAAATTAATAATATACGCTCATAAATCATTACAACAGGAAAAACAAACAAAAAGAACAACAGAGAAGAGAAGAAGAGAACCAGAAGTCGAAAGAAGAAGCAACCCTGGGGTAAACTGATATACTAATGATATCCATTATATAGTTTTGCAACTGTTATACAGCAACAAAAACACACAAAATATTTGTATGAAATAATTTTTTTTTTTTTTGTTATTAAAGAAAAACCTTACGATTACTATTATTACTATTAAAGATTTATGAATTTTGTGTACTAATAATTATAGGAATTATAGTTGTTGTTGTTAAAAAAACGGCAAGCTGTTATAAAACAAAAAAATGTGTCATTGCAAAGTAGCGAGAGCAAACGATGTGTAACTGTAACGAGTAACGAGTAACGAGTAACTGTAGCAAAGAGTAGTGCTAGAAGTAGTTGATGTATGTATGTTTCTGTAGCAGATCTAGATCTGTAGGAGGCCCGAATAAAACTTAAGGCGAAGTAGAGGCGACGGCGGCAACAACTATTAAAAACTAATAAATTTTATATTTTTTAAGAAAACAAAATGCTACAAAAACTAAAGCAACACAAAACACACACAACAACAAAAAAAAAGACGAAAAAATGCAGCAGCGAAAACACGGAAAAACCAGCAGCAGTACAGCAAACATAAAAAAAAAACAAAAACTAAAATTGTTTTCAATTTTAAAAAATTAATCTAAAAATAAAAATTTTATGTCTCATTTTAAAAACAATTTCACAGCTAAAAAAAAAAACCTAAATAGAGAAACATCAGAGCAAAGCAAAAAAAAAAAAACAAAACAAAAGAAATGCCAATCAACAAAAGCGAATATACAAAAAAAAAAATCTTTCAAGTCTAAAATAAATGTAGAAAAGTTTTTTTTTGAAGGCTTGTTGTGCCTTCTGTTATACTGTTATACACCGAGAGGAACAAAGAGGTCGCAAAAAGAGAAGAGAAAGAGCTGAGAAATATATAATGTGCTATACGTTGAAGTGTTATACATAAAATATAACTTTTTAAAAACAAATATTCAACTCAAAATATTTAGAAATCCAATAAGCAATAAGCGAATGAAAAATATTGAACCACGCTGCTACCAAAAAATACAAAAAAAACCAAAAAACTACAACAAAAAAATACCACAAGAAATATTCTAAAACGAAACTGTTATACGCATAAGAATGGGGGTAAAAACCAAAAGAACAATAACTGTTTGAGGAGATTGGAGAGCAAAGGAGGAGATCGATGAATAGTAATAAAGAAATTGCCATACATTTTAACAAATTCTCTAAGATATCTTATGATATATTTCTTTAATCAGGCGGAAGCACATGTGGCGCTGTTTATAATCTGTTTTAACGAAACACTGCTCTAAAACCCATCGATCAAGACCCGATAGAGCAGATAGTGGGAAACCTCGCTCTTTCAGACTTAAAATGTTGCATTTATCGGTAGAGCTGGAGCTCTACTTTCGAGGGCTCTTCGTGGGTGTCGTGCGCCTCCGCTTGCTGGGGACAGAGCATGACTCCGAGGCATAGAAAACCTTCTCGGAGCCCCCATTTGATTAGCCTAATCAATACAATAGCCCAGGGGGCTGGCTGTAAGTTGAGTTATGTATGAACATTACTAATTGTAGAGGCCACACGGCCGTATCGAGTATCGATATCGCCTATCAATCTACTAGTCTATGGCCAAACACTTGGGTCGCTGCTATCGGCCGCTATTTATACGAATGGCCCGAGAGACCAGACCAAGTGCTACGAAAACAGCAATAAAACTGACATGTTCAACGGAAGGGGAGGCAGGAGAGTGAGAGAGCAACAGCCATAGCGACAGCGACTGAAACCCAATCAGTTTGTCAATTCCAGGCACTTGATATGTCTATAGAGATATATACGACCCGTGCAAGTGGTTCGATTAACCATAAACGCAGAAGATCCCTTTTTGTCGCATGATTCTTGCACTTCAAATAGGGAATTCAATTCTCAAAACTGATTAATAATTAGTTTTCATGACAAATCCAGGGCGAGTAGTAGCGTATCTGTGTATAGGAGTGCAGTGTGGAACCACCACAGCTTGGACTCTGCCTCAGCTCTGGTTTTGATAAGCGTGCAAAACCAACGACAAACAACATGACGGAAGCCACTTGTGCAGCTGATTATAGAAGGGGTAAATGCAACGCCAGCGGCACCACCAACTCCACAAAAGGGCAGGGGACGGACCAACAGGCAAAGCCAAAGCCAAAGCCACTACTGGCCTAGCAACAACTAGACGTGCGATGTACTGCCTGATGACAATGTTGTTTATTTCTGTGGCTCATGTGACGAGGCAGTGGCTCGGCGGCTCCACTTCACCTGCCAGAACAGACACACTCCATCGAACGACCGTAAGCTGAGTAGAGCAGCCGCGGCACCAGTGGCAGCGGAGCAGCGTGAAAAGCAAGAGTAAGCAAAAAAAAGTAAAACAACAACAGAAAAACAAACTGCATATGAACACGACGTTATCGAAGGCATGCCATGACAAATTCCAAAATACAAATGGAAAATGCAATAAAATATAAAAGAGAACTGAAAAGAGAAGCCCGAGCAAGCCGAAGCTTGGATATGCTGCCTGGAGAATGGAAAGTCCAAGTCTTCGGCCTTACAAGTGGCTCTGCCACATCGATGCACCCCATGGGAAGGGGCATTATCATTGAGTGGAACAATTAAATTCTTATCATCGAATAAATTGAGTTTAGATTATGAAAAAGTGATTCGCCTCCCACTTGGCAGTAACTGAAAATGGGAACAACTCGAAAAATAAACACAGAAAGAGCCAGCCATGAATGATATTGAGACCCACTGTATGTACATATACCCCACAAATAGTGTCAACAAAAAGCATTTGCTTTCCATAATCTATTATTGCAACAATTGTCTGTGTGGTGTGGTGTTGCACTCACCCAGCTGATCCTGATGCGCCGGCGGCGGCGGCGGCTGCTGCTGCTGTTGCTGTGGTGTCGGTGTGGGGCCTTGCGATGGCTGCGCCTGAATCATTTGCTGTGGCTGCTGTTCGATGGCCACTGTTGGCGGTTGCTGCCATTCCTGTCCCGCCTGCCACTGTGGCGGTGGAGGCAACATGGCTGCTGGTCCGGCTATTGGTATTGGGGCTGGCCATTCCACTGGAATGGCTCCAGGCGGTGCAACACCGCATTCAGATAGCTCATCCACGTACTAAAAGCCAAACGGAAAGAAAATTAAGAAATCGAAGGTGAAATCGAAGGAATCATCGCTAACCTGTTGGGCTGGACCAGCTCCCGGGTGAATGGTCTGCAGGGAGGCCATCTGTCCATCGTCGTAGATTTGCATGACGCTCATTTGGTGCTGCATCTCATGGATCGACGCCTCGTAGACGGAACAGCTGGGGCTCAGCATGCTGCCCGTTTCCGAGGAGGGCAGCGAGAAGCTGTTGTGGTTGAGCTCATCCCCGAGAGCAGGGGCCCCATTCGGATGCGAGACCTGCTGCTGCTGCTGTTGTTGTTGCTGTTGCTGAAGCACGTCGGCGTACTCCTCCGCGTACATGGGGCCGGCATGCCAGATCTGTGGCATGCCTCCATCCGGCTGCTGGCCACGCTCATCTATGCCGCCCGCCTGGCTGCCATCCTCGGGCACGTATTGGTACTCCTGTTGTGGGATGAGATGTTGGTAGACGTAGCCTCCCATGCAGTTGTACATGGCGGCCGGATTGTACATCATCGGCATGTAAAGTGGAGGGCCGGTGGCCTGCTGGGCAGCCGCTGCTGCTGCCGCGTTGGGCGGACCCTGCAGGGCCGCATGCTGCGGTGCAAAGTAGGTAGCGGGATACGGCCCGTAGGTGTAGTGATGGGGCGCGTAGTAGGGAACGGGCTGCATTTGACCTTCGGGCGGTCCGGCAACCAGCTGATGGTCCGGCTGGAGCTGCATGTTGGGCGTCCCGGCGCCGCCGCCGTCCGGCTGCAGTTGTTGCTGTGGGGGCAGAGAAATCAGCTGTTGTTGCTGCTGCTGCTGCTGTTGTTGTTGTTGCAGGTGACGTGGTCCGTGGTAGTCATTGCGTCTCAGCCCACCTCCACCACGGGCGCGCCCACGTGCACGTCCACGGCCACCCATGCCAGGATTATGAGGATTGGGACTGACTCCCTGGGCAGCCAAATTAATAGGCAATGGCTGCAGTTGTTGCATCAGCGGATTACCCTGCAGAGATAGCAATAAGAATAGTCAGTGGGAAAATTCATTTTATAGCTGTTTAGCGTCTGATCACTCACCTGCTGGTCCTGGGGCATGTCCCCGTGGGCCATGTAGTGAGCCTGTCCTCCTCCGGGTATGTAGGCGGGAACCGAGTGCGACCAGCCATGCAGATTCACATTGGCAGTGACATTGTTCACATAGACGTTGCTCGGAATGGGTGCCTGGAGCATGGCTGGAGCATAGTGGCCGCCCGCATGCGGATGTCCTCCATGGGCGGGCATGTAAACTTGGTTGTATATCGGCTGTCCGGTGGGTGTGAAGGCCTGGACGGGTGCCGCCATCACGTTATTATTGTTGTTTCCGGCGGGAGACACCACACTATTATTGTTGTTGTTATTGTTGCTGCTAGGAGGCTGCGGCGTGGATGGATTCGACACGGGTGTGGTTGCAGCAACTGGCGGTGGCTGCGGCTGTGCTGCTGCTGCTCCGGCTGCTGCGGGTGCCGCAGTGCCAGCTCCGACCGATGATGGCGGTGCCGCTGCCTGCTGCGGCTGTGTTGTCTGCGCCATTCTTTGGGAACCTCAAGTACTTGGCTTGCTCCGTTGCTTGTTCGTTTTGGAGGGGTGAAATGAGTCTCAAGATTCGCTGCAGGCGTCAAACATTGAAGATTCGGTTTGCTGTGTAACGTACGAATGAAAGAGAGAAAAAACACATCAACGAAATGCAGGTTTGAGGTTACGGAGAGTCCCCGCTACCGGAACATTTGCGCCGCCAGCGGTCTGGCAACTCTGCACAGCTGTCTTGGAGTAATAAAAAAATCAAATAAACAGACCGAAGAGTGGCGGAGAGCAAGAGGCCATGCCGTACGGCAGCGGTGCATCGGTTTCCCGGACTATGATCAAAAGTGTACCATAATTAAAACAACAATAAAACTACCATGCGGCCGCGGCGGCGTTCAGACTTTGTTTTTTCTATTCACTATTAAACTTTCATGCCACACACACTCCCTCCCCAATTAGAGATGAGCGAAAAAAAAGTCACTGATATCGGAGTGTGTAACAGGTTCGGTTCAAAGGGTTATATTTTTTAAATATTCTGCAAGTGATTTAATTAAAATGGGAATACATACAAACACCGCTTCACTTGTGCTGCGATTGGGAGTACACTTATTTATAGTAGAATAGGACCCCATTTGGTGGCAAATCACATCTGTCACTGTCGCTCCACCGGACTCGCAGAATCGCAGCATTACTCATCTCTGCCAAACACAACACACACGAACAGAAACATGCACGAACACGCACAGAAACACACAAATACACATGTGCGCGCGTATGCCTGTGTAATAAAGGAAATTAGAAAATATCTTCAGTGGCAGAAGAAAGGCGACACTTGCCACCAGCTTGAATCCGAGTGTCGAAATTCTAGCTAATTCGAGACGTCTGCTTCTTCAGGCGGCATGTTTTAGCTTTAGCTTTATGTAAATGCAGCCAGGCAAAAGCCAGGCGGTCGTCGCCGGATTCAACGTCCAATGGCGACCGAAGAACACGTTGAAACGAGAAAAGAGAACGCTGAGCGCTGAGGAATGCGAGGCGGCGGCATAGCGAACAAGAGGGCGTGGAGGGGAGGGGGCTGGGTGGAGAAGGGAAATGAGTAGTTTATCGAACGTACCTTTTGTTGAGTCGCCAATTGAAATCAATTTCGTAGCAATTTGATCATATTTTATGCGTGCGGGCGGCCAAATGCGGCACTGAGATGGCCTGGTGGCTGCTGGCTGGTGTCGCGGCGGCTCTCTCGTTCGCTGGCTCTCTTCTTTTTCTAATGACACGACCACGACGATAATTCCGCAACTCTTTACACGCTTCTACTTCGTTGCTCCAATTAACAATGTTTTTCCACCGACGGCCACCGCACACGCACAAGCACTTGGTATGTGTTAGCACAGTACTTTATTATCAATTGCGATTAAATTTTATTTAAATTTATTTTTTGTGCAACAAACGGATTTATTGTTCTTTAGCAGTGTGACCGCGGACTTAAGGACTTAAAATATACGGTCTGACCTCAGAAATATACCGTAAATATACTAACGAATTATTTGTAATCAAGTTGCATCATTGCAATTTCTTACAAGATTGGTTTAATTTAAGTTTTCCTCTTTATTGCATTGCTTATAAAATAAGGTTTAAGCAAAAGCGGTCAACAACAATTTCCACTAAATTCATTTCATTACATGCTAACTGCACGCAAATTACACATTAACTACATTTTCATGTAATTACCAAAAGCGTGTACGTTTAAAAAACTGTGAAAAACTTCTGTTATTTACTTTTTGACATTCCTTTTTTCCGACATTTTCAAAAAAAATTGTGATTTTGATGCCAAGCGATCAGGAATTCGATGCTGATTTCGAATTAATATTCGATGTGGCCTGGGACATGTCCCAAATTGGCATTTCTACACGGTATCTACATTGGTGAATTGCACAAGAGGGTGAGTCCCTAACACGTCCTAAAATATACTGGAAAATACTACTAAAAGTATACATTTTGTAAGGTGTGTGAGCTAGACAGGGTGTAAGCTCGGACTCGATGTACATATAAGAAATCTGCCAGCCCGTATGGCTGCAGGGTATACCTTGAGTTGGCAGCGCTAACATTCAAATTTGAATTTGAACTTAAAAAATTTAAATTTCTGAGGACTTAAGAAGACTTTTCTTGATTTAGACACACACATTGTTTTTATTGACTTGATATTAATCTTGCAATGAACAGTATTATAAAATGCAACGTTTTTTTGTGGGTTACAGGTTGCCGTCACAGCTAATTCCATCATTTTGAATGCTTTTTGTGGGTTTTTTTTTTCCAAAAACACTTATTGAACAAGAAACGCGTTGTCTTAAAAATTAACATCCAGATATATAAACATACATATTAATTAGGTACATTGTAATGCAACAAATCGTTAATGTTTTGCTGAGACGAAAAAAATTCATGTGCCGAGTGCTTCAACTGTTGGCAAATATTAATTACTTGACTGCTTTTTCCATTAAATGTGTGTTTGCCCTCTCGATTCCGTAGGTTTTTTCTTTCTTTCTTCTTTTTGTTTTGCCTAATCAGTCTTTGCTATAAGCTGATTGTACATTTTTTACAGGGTAGATGCTGTTCTATGACAATTTAATGAAAACTAACATCCAAATAAGTAATGGTAATGGTAATAGTTATAACGACATAGTAGTATCTCGATACTCTAACAATAGGAAGACTACGGAGTAGTACGGTATACATATGTACGGTATGCTCAGGCAACAAGTAGTATATATATTTATATATATATATATATATATATATATATAATAGACATCGTTATGATTCCTTAGTTCTTAGTTCTTTTAGTCGATTAACGATTGCTGGATTGCTGTGGGAGTGGGTAGATACAGAACCAGTCCGTGTGTGGGGGAGGTATAACACTTATCTAAATACGATCTAACAAGAGACGACACACACATACAATACAATACAATACAATACAAATATACATCAATTTCTAAAGTAATTGTCGATGGCTGCTGTTTTACATATGCGCAATTCCCGCGGGCATCCTACGGATCCTAGGGATCAATTTTGCCAAGCTCTATATCCTTTTCAGGGGCAGAGTCAGCGGCAGGGACAGGTGACTGTGGTGGTGGTGGTGGTGGTGGTGGTGGTGCCTCTTCCACATCTATGGAGTTCTCCCGCTCTGTGATCTCGGGCATCTTCAACGAGAAACTGCTTAGTTTCCGCTCTGCCGATGCCAGCGAACTCTGTGAGTCCGCCTTCAGCAGCGTGGAGCGCCGTTCGTTGATCACTTTGAGGGAATCGTACATCTGATCATCGGCACTGCCAGTGCCCTTGGCCAATCCCCGTTCCATGGAGCGGGCATGGAACACAGAGTCATCCAACTCACTAGCCACCGCCGCCTTGGGCCTGTAGAACTGCCGAGAGCTGTTGCTGCGAAACAGTGGGACAGCAGCTATCGTCTTCTGTTGATTCTGATTTTGCTTCTGTTGATTCTGATTCTGATTCGGATTCTCCTCTTGCTCGCTGCGAGAGAGAGGCAGAAAGTCCGGGCGCACCTTCTTCGGAGGCAGGCTGCTCGGTTGATGCTCCAGCGCCAGCACCTCATCGTAGGACCTATCCTCGGCCTGTTCGAGGCTCTCCTCCGGCACGGCGGGCTCCATGCTCGACTGCCCCGACAGCTGACGGACAGGAGGCGGTGGCTCCGAGCACACAGACAATTGGCTTCTAAACGGAAAAGAGATACAAGCGTGAGTTTTCATATAACACTATCAAAAGGTGTCAAAGTGTCATTGCTCACCGAAAATCCTTATCCACCGATGGCGTGGCCGAGGGTCCGGAACTGTAGCGCTTTGGTGAGCGCAGTATTGACTTGGGAATCACCTCCGGGCTGTGCAGATCGACCTGAACGCGCCTCGACTCAATGCTGGAAGTGCGACTAGCCACCGACGCACAGCGAGCCGTCCAGCGGCCACTGTACGAGGAATCCGACATGGTGGAATTGCTGCAAGAAATCATCAGATCAGTAAAAGGGCTTCCAAATCTGCGCTTTAGCATCTTTACCGCCTGTTTCCAAGAGGACTACGTCCCTCCTCCTGCTCGATGGGACGCTGGCGGGATAGGACATGCCGCTTGGCCGTGTCCGAGCGTTTGTTCCGCTCGCTGCGCTTTTCGGCGCTGGAGATGGCGACAGCCGCATGGGCATGGCCACTGCCGCCATCAAAAGAGGAGGCCTGCCAGTACACCCGACCCGCTGCCGGGGGCTGCAGCAAGGAGCACTCTCGTGTGGCCCGCTGGATAAGGCTCGAGGAGTTGCTAATGATGCGAGTCGAGGAGGAGGAGGCAGCGGCGGCGGCAGACGGGCCTGGGCCTGCCCAGGGACGCCCCTGGCGCACTCTCCTCACGCTGCTGCTTGCCGACGACGACGAGGGTTTCGGGTGGTGTCGTTGGTTGTGGTCGTGGTGATGGTGATGCGAGTGCCGGTGGTGGTGGCGCCGATGGCGTTTCGTGCAGCACGGACCCGTGTGCAGCAGCGTGTCCAGCGGCGTCGTCGTCATCAGGTGGTGGTAGTGGTGCAGTGAGAGCAAATTGGAGGGATTAGTGGCGGCGTTGGTGGTGGTGGTGGTGTTGGAGGTGTATTCAAGGAGATTGGCATGATCATGAGCATGAGCATGAGCGGTGGCAGCGGCATGGATGGTGGACAGATCGGGCACTGATCCAGTGCATGTGAGGCGGCGCAACTGCGGCGAAAAGCGTGTGGATTGGCGACTGGCGAGGTGGCGAGGCGATGGATGATGCAAAGAGAGAGGAATGGGAAGAGGTGGAAGATTAGCCAATTGTGTTTGAAAGATTCTCTGCTACAAATTTCCACTCCGCAATGAAGTTCTCCGAATGTTTTATGGCGCTTGCGCTGTCTGTGAATACCTGAGGGACTTGGAGAATTTCACCAACTCCGCGGTCAGTGCCTCCCTATCGAAGGGTTGCTGCTGCTGCTGTTGCTGCAGCTGCTGGTGATGCGGATGCGGATGCGTGGCAGAGAGTATGGCTGCCTGTGGCTGCTGGTGGGGATCGCCCGGCGATGAGCGGAACACCCCGAAATGCTGATCCCAGCGCGTGGATTGGTATTGGGCACCTGCCAGAGGAAACACGAGATTAACATATACCTTAAGGGCGACGCAAGTCCGTACCCATTCCCCGTCGCTGCGAAGCGGATGATCCCTGATTACTCCGCGTTGGATTCTTGCTGCTGCCTCCTCCTCCTCCGGCACGTAGTCGTGCCGGCACCACCTTCGCAGCCGAGTCGCGTGCCTCGAAGGTCATCACACAGGAGGCCACCACAATGAAGCCCCCAAAGCCCATCACAATGGGCCCCACATACGCAAAGTTGTTCAGATGGAAGCCCTTCAGGTCGTTCTTCACGCGCACCGTCACATTGCCCCGCAGCTCCGACCCCATCGACAGGTGATCCGCATAGTAGCCCAGGGTGGCCATTCCGGCGCCCAAGAGCATCAGCGTCAGGCCCAGGATCAGAGCCCGACAGGCATGCCACAAGCACTTTGAGGACATTTTACCTCTGACCACCTGCACATTCCATGTGGCTCCGGAGGCGGGATGCGCACGTCGCAGGTTCCCCAGGGAGTGCTTCCGCTTGATTGTGCCGCCGCCGGCGCGACGGGATGGCATTGCAACGATGCTTCTTAATCTTCACTGCGGCTGCAGAACATTAACGTTGATTTCTGAAAGATTTGTACGGAAAATGCAGAAGGAGTGACGAAGAGATTGCTACAACTTAATGATATAGCGGTTACTCCATAAATACTTGAACTTTACTGATGGAACACGTCTCTAGATTGAAACCCACTGCGTGGGCCGCAAGGAAAGGAAAGGAAAGGTCTAGGGAATGCCCTAATATTATCACATTCCTATCCTTTTCCATCGACGGCCATTCAAAATGTATTCATTTTAACCCAATTTTAATTCAGGAATAACATCGGTTAAGTTTTCATCAAGGTATAACCTAAAGAAGGAAAGTATCCAAAGAATGGAGGAATTTTCCACTTCGATGGATCATAAAATGTATCAAAGAGGACGTAACCTCAAATTGCATCATTTTCTAATCCAGATACTTAGATTCGATAGATTGCGACTTTAGAAAATAAAAAGGGATCGAATGATCTGATGGCTGTTAAATCTTCTAGAACTACCTAGCCTTGAAATGGATATGGGTCGGAGCCACGCACGGCATGTATTTTGTTTTTAGGCTCTCGGGCATCGACGTGCAAAGAGCATAGCGGAATCTTCTACAAATTTATGTTCTGCATTCCACACAAATTGCTCAAGTTTTCACCAAATTATGGATCGAAAAGAGCAGAAATTTGCATGTCTCATGGCCTCTCCACCGGTTGTCCGACTATAAGGTGTACCCCAGTACAGGCAGTTCTCTTGCTATTTATTTGTCACCAGTTTGAAGGAGAATACGTACAGGAGAGCCATATCAAAAACAAAAACCAAGCTTAGAGAACGCTTAACAATTCGAAATTTAAGAAAAGCGAGTACAATGAATGCCATGCTCTGAGAATAGCTGAAGAAGCCGTTGAAAACAACAGAATAATGTGGATGGGACTTGAAGAATGGCGGACACTCCTTCAAGAGGCGCCAACACCGGAGCCGTGTTCGCGGCTGTGCCGCAATTAAAGCCAAACAATACGCGAGCTCCCAGCGGAGGCCCAGAAGGTGGAGGGGCGATGGAGGGGGGTCCGGGGTCCTGATAACAAGGCTCACAATGACAGCCTGGCCGCGTTTTCTTCTGTCTCCTGAGTGCTGCTTGACACGTGAGCCCCAAGACGCAGGCTGCTGCTTAAATTTAGACCGTATTCTCATTGGTGCCACTTGTGGGGCATGGGGATACAGTGGCGCCTATTGCTGGGCTGCCCATCCAGAGTAACATTCCCACTCTCTTGCTTGCACTTATGGTCCGTCATTAGCGGGATTCTGAGAGCCATTGGATGGGGTATCTGGAGCACACTTTCATTATTTGCACTGTGAGGTGTATTCAGAGGTTGAATGAGATTTCACTGATTGAATCGCTCGCGGAATATGCTACCATCCATCACCCGATGAAATATTATAGTAATTTGAACAGATTTCACTGGAATGGTAACGCACATTCCGAAGGTCTTTCAGATGGGATTTCATTAAGATAGTGCTTCAGACACTGCCGTATGCACTTCTATTCTATCAATAGAGAATTTTTCAATGCTATTGAATTGGAAATTCACTTCACAAACGTTCATTTCCAATCTTCAGCCATCAAACAAAGGATTTTCACACCGATTGCATGCGATTTCCCCACAAAAATGTCACCGGGTTTCGTACACATTAATCGCTTACTTGTTGGTTCTTCTTCCCGTGGATGATACCTTCGGGCTGTTGCTGCTGCTGCTGTTGCTGCTGCTGCTGCTGCTGATGCTGCTGCGGATGTCGATGCTGTTGCTATTTGCTGTCGATGCGAGGAGAGCCTTTTGTGTGACCTAAAAGCACTTTTTGCCTTCGCGTCTGTATGTATACTGGCATGTGCATATATCTTACACTTTTCACCTGTACTTTACCCTCAATGGTCATCCTCAGGAGTGCTCTATATCTTCAGTGGCAGCTTCCATTTTCTGGCTTTGCTTGGCTTTTCAATTTCCGAATAAAGAATGATATTTTATTTTCACTCCTGAAGCGTTTCCGCAGCTTTCTCGATTGAGGCAGGACTTCGCTGACTGGAGCGATGGCGTCTGCATCCGAGCAACCTCCACGCGCGTCTGATAAGACGGTGCCACAACACCACGAAGCATTCATCCCTCATGATATCGCCTCTCGATTCCCATAAATCTGAGTCTGCAGACTGGTCGAAATCGGCAGTGGATACCCGCTGCAATGGACTTCATTTCACTCTCCCGGGGGATGCTGGCCCTCGGGGGTTGGTTGCTCTTTGGGGAGGTTTGTCCGTAGTTGGCATAACTGGCGCCACCTATTGTGGATTTCAACCACGGGGGTGTTTTATAGCATCCATATCACAGTAGTATAACAGTTAGATAGTAACTTGCTCTTAAGCTGGGCTTTAGCGATGCAACGGCTGCATGCTCACGCAATAGCTCAGCGCGCAATAATATAAATCATTTTTATATTCTGTGCAGCATTGGCGTGTATGAGAATGTACACATGCTGCCATGCAGCCGCTGCATCTTTTGAAGCCAGCATTATACTTTCACACTCGTGACTCACTGCTTGTTATATTATACTTTCACACTTTTATTATTTTTCCCTGCTTGATATACAGAATCCAAGAAGTACACTGCTTTTAACAATCTCCCTGCTGTCATCGGAAATAACTGCTTGGTATTGCTTCTCATGCGTTCCTTTCCTCCCACACATTTACTGCTTTCAATGAGAACACTGCTTTCAATGAATAACACTGCTTGCCCAAGTATATTTGCATTTGAATTTGAATTCAAATCCCCTCTCGGACTCATATTCACCACAAGAAAGAAGGGGTAAAAGCTTATCCACTCCGAAACTGTACCAATCGAAAGTCACCACAAAGCGGGGAAAAACTCAACGAAAGCAGGACATGCGCAAAGAAAGTCATGAATGGTCGAGACGATACGAAGTCAAAGGACTCGGACTCTACGTCTCGGGAACATCAACAACAATTTGACAAGAATTCCTGCCTCAATTCCGTCGACGTTCATTCATAGGCGAAGTGTAACGGCGTGCTGACGTTCCTCCGTGCGTGCCGGATGTTCCGACGAATCCCCAACTGGCGGATATACGTGATGCAGTTGTTCAAACCGAATCGTTCCGTTCTCCACCGTGTGAATCCCATAGCCCGTGCGTGTTCTACGACAGGGTTTTTGTTTGTTTTTTTGTTTGAGGCAAAGCCAAAAGCCAAAAGCCAAAAGCCTGTGCAGTGCCAGTGATTGAGTCTCGTCCTCGATGCACTCCCTGACAATTGAGTGGCGCTTCCTTGATCCGTACTATAGCCCATCCGTGTGTGTCCCAAAATCGAATCCCATACCGGAAAGTGAATGTGAATGAGAAGTGTTGCCTCCTTCCGGAAAGTAAATCCCGAACAAACCGAAATAAACCGAATAAAAGGAAAACTACATTTTGTTAACGATCGTTCCTAGAGCATGTAAAGCATATATTAACTTAATCAGCTAATCAATAAGCAGAAGGGAGCTAAAGTTTCAGTGCGATTCAGTGCGGAGGACCCAAGAGAAAGTTGCTCCTGTCCCTAAGTGAATTTATCAAGTTGATATTTACGTGATTCCGCCCCGGGGCGCCCCGACAAACAAATGGCAGAAGTGCGTGAGAGCCCTAATCAAGTGGCAGATGAGCAGTAGGTGACCCCCAATTCGAGTGGCAGGCAGCAATAGCCCCAGACGAAGTAAGAGCTCTAGGTGACCCCCAAAAATCGAGCGGCAGAGCAGCGTAAACTCCCAGTCCTCCAATGCAGTTGGCCAAATGTGCGTTAGTTAGTGCCGATTCCAAACGGGGAACACAGACTGCAAAATGCGTTTGAATGAACCAGCGAAAATAGCGTCTCCGAGAAATAAATCGAAGCAAGCCACAGGAACAACCACTGCTGCAACAGGAGCAGCAGCCGCCAGTCACACCACATCGATCTCCGCGTCCACGCGACCAATTGAATGCTCCGTGCGCAACCTGATCAGGCTGTTTATCCTAACCACAACGATCATGGGCAGTGGCAGGGCCATCGGTAGCGGCCTGGTCCAGGCCAATGCCGTCTATGAGGCCGTCAATCGGATCAAGGGCGTGGATCCCTATGGCTTTGTCGCCTCCGAGCAGCTGGACGAGCTGCTGTTGGACGCCACAGTGAAACTGCCCGCGAGAACCACACCCGCGGGAGCAGAAGCAGGAGGAGGAGAAGGAGGAACCACAGCCACGCCCTCGTCGGACCACTTGCCGTTGACCACGTGGCGGGATAGTTACGGTAGGGAAAATTGCAAAATTGCTACTTGGAAATCAACCCAACGAGGGGGCGGCGAAGCGAGGTGGGCTCGGCGCAGGGCCATTATTATATAATTGTTTTTCAATGAAAGGCTGAAAGACTTTCACTCTTTGAATACTTGGAAAAATGTGATATATTTATTACACCTGCACTGAGAGCAAAAAAAAATAGTTTTCTTTTGTGACGATTCCGAAAAGGCGATTTTGTGTTTTCAAAATTTTCAATGGTGATATTAAATCATTTAATTCGCGACTTAGGCTAATGGTTACTTGAAATTAATGATAAAACGCTATAATTTCAAAATTTTCATACTCAATGAGTAATGAAAGATTGTACAAAAAGGCCTCATCCAATGGATACGTTAAATATTTAGATATTTTACAATAAGATTTACGAGGCTTGTATAAAGCAAACTAAAAATGTATTAGAAAATAATCGAATTGGAACAGTTTAATATACAAAAAACAAGTGAAAACCGATGTTAGATAATCCAGACATTTTTATATCAAATTTAAAACAAATTCCAAAGATCTGCATTACAAAAAGAAATCTAGAAATTTCTATATGATATTCTCACATATGTATGTACATACATACATATATGGTTGCATGGTTATATACAAACATATTCACAATGAAAACTATTTCGGAAAATATAAACTGCTTTCATTTGAAAGTGCAAAATTTACCAATTGACGTATCCGATAAATAATACAATAAATTATCAACAAAATGTTCTATTTTTTCTCAGTGCAATGTGGATAATGTGTAATAAAATCCTATGCCCATCTAATATGTTCCTCTATATAGAAATGACTATCTGCCATCTTCCAATAAGTGGATTTGGTTTGCCACCAAAAATAGGTTTCCTGATTCTCTGATTTTCCAAATTTATTAGTCATATACAACCCCTTCCTTTGTACCCCTTCCCATTTTGTGGAAACCAGAAATTAGCATAGACCCTTCAGACAGACACTCAACCAGATATCCAGACCCGCACCCACACTTTCTCGCCAGTGGGTGGCCATGTCATCAATTCTTAACTTTCCTTTCCCTTTCCTTTCTCTTCGTCGGAAGCAGATTCGAATGAAATCGATAACTCCTATGCCGCCGCCGCCGCCGCCGCCGCTGCTGCCGCAGCTGCTGCTGTGCCTGCAGATGGGACCAGCCTGGCCTTTGAGGCCGATGGCAATGGCGATGTGGAGCCCGATTACGTCATAGATATGAGCCAGACATCGACGGTGGCCCCCAGCTCCCAGACAGCCTCAACGATCTTCGAGCAGCGGCTGCCGGAGCGGTCCCAGGATATGGAGTCCCTGTCGCTGCAGGCGGACGGAACAGGCGCCACAGCAACGGCCAAGGGTCCGCTTTCTGAAGCACCCAGTCGGAAGAACTCCCTTAGTAGGGACGACATGACCTTCCAGCAGATTGGTAGCCAAAAGATAAATGCCTTAATGCTGGCCACTACGGCGACAGTCAGCGGGGGTAGTGCCGCCACTAATGCGAGCATTGCGACGCCCACAGAGCCCGTGAGGAACAAAACGAACAACGTTCGCACTTCGGCGGTGAGGGTGGACAGCAACAGCAAGCACTCGCTGCCCAAGGGCCAGAAAACCGATGCGCCCATGCTCAACTACATCTTTGACACGTTCTCGGCGGCCAATAAGCACCACCATCACGATCAGAGGTAAGTGTGGAGTCGCCTCCAGATGGGAAGATGTATTCTTTAATACACACCTGCCGGTCTCACAGATATGGTCCCCACTTCGAGGACGCACAGCGGTTGGGCCAGGCCACGAATCTGACCGTGCAAGCAGGCTCCAGCATCCACTTGAACTGCAGGATTTCGCTGCTGCAGGATAAGACTGTAAGTGCATCTGACCAGGTTCAATTAATCAAGTGCTTTTTACCTGCTTTTGAGGCGCACATTTCCATGTTTATTTCCCTTGCTCAAAACCGCGCCATTTTGCTTTAGATCTTCTTCTTAGTGATGACACAATCAATTAAAAAGTGCATCGATTAATTTTACATCGATGAAATAAGTTTCCTATTAGTTCAGCGATTAGCTATCGTTATTTGAAAATTTGAAATGCCCTATAGGAAGTACTGAAATGTTTTCCCATATACACGCTCCATCATCATTTAGGTCTCTTGGGTGCGACATAATACGCAGGACGAGGAAAACGCCCTAGATCTGCTAACAGTGGGCATGCACACATACACGGGTGATAAACGCTACAAAATGGAGTTCCAATATCCCAACAACTGGCGACTGAAGATAACCAATGTGAAGAAGGATGACGAGGCCATTTACGAGTGCCAGATCTCGACCCATCCGCCCCGCCTCATACAAATTAACTTGCATGTGAATGGTAAGTACGCGCAAGCAGATACAGACATTGGAAGAGAAGTCACTCAAGTGGTTTGGCACAGCTCCCAAGGTGATGATTGTGGACGAGGTGGGGGATCCGTTGCAGGAGAAGTACTACGAGATCGACTCCACGCTGCAGCTGTCCTGTGTGGTGCGCAACGTGGCTATGACCAGCTCCGTGGTGTACTGGAAGCACATCGACGATGTTCTCAACTATGACGTGACACGCGGTGGCGTGAGGTAAGTGAGAGAGAAAGAGGATAGAGAGTGCGAGTGCGAGTGCGAGTACTCCCTACTAACGAGAATCCTGGATTGCAGCGTCAAAACCGAACTGATGGAGGATGGGGCCAACTCCACCCTCTCCATAGCGAAGATCAGCAAAACCGATTCGGGCAATTACACCTGCTCGATCAGCGAGTTCCAGAACTTTACCATTGTGGTGCACATTCTGAATGGTGAGGCCCCAGCCGATGGAATGCAATGCCAATTTTTCCCCCGAATGTGGGTAACAAAATCTCCTTTCTTTCCGTTGCAGGCGAGAGCTTTGCGGAGCTGCACCATGGCGGGGCAGGAGCGGTGCAGGCCACGTGGCACAATCTGGTGGCGCTGCACTTCCTAATGCTCATCCTGCTGGCGGCGAGTAGACTTAGGGCAGATTTTAGGTAAGGTTCCCAGTTGTTTTGTTAGGGTAAGCGAGTGGGGGGAAGAGGAGGAGGAAGATGAGCCTTCCTACGTACACATACATACACTTTTTTTTGAGTAATTGTTAAGATTTTGAATTTGTTTAGGGCCCCGGGGGCACAGGAGAGTTATTAGAAATAACTAAAAAAAATTTAAAACAAATATTAAGAAAAGAAAACGCAGCCTAAGTTAAACTCCAAGCGATCGTCGTGTGTACTAGCTATTATAGATATGTTTCTACGTCTATCATCAATTTGTACATGAGCAGGAGCACGCCTAGAGTTAAGTTTAGAGTAAGGCAAGGTGGTACAAGGCGCAGAGGCCAACGAATTTCCCTAGCAGAACGACACGTGTACGGTCACGGTCACGGTCTGGCCTAGATCTAGTTTATACAGGAATGTAAAGCATTATGTGTAAGTCACCAGAGGAGCGGAGCAGCATCAGCACCCCTCGCAGTTTATTTTGGAGCTGACCTAGGGCTGGGAGCTGCCTAAGAAATAGCTGCATGCGGAAGAACTCCTGCGGGGACTATTCAATGTTGAACTAACTATAAAGTGCAATACTGTCATATACATATTATATACATACACACACACACACATACATACAAGCAAGCGATCGACTAAATGATATGTTAATAAACGAATACTCGTATATATGCAATAATAAAGTGAACTATATATGAGTGCAAAGTGAATTCAAAGCTGCAGCTTATTGGAAATTTAAATTTGATCGCACCACACAATATCGATCTATCGATCAAAGTGCGTTTTATTCAATCCATACATCGATATGCAAACTCAACAGCTGTTCTTACAAGGAAAATGATGTAAACAAATTTCTTACAATTTCGATTTGCGGGTGGCAAAGTCCATTATGGCCTGGATGAACTCGTCTCCCTGAAAACGATTGAGGAGCTCCGTGCACTCAGCATCATTAGCCTTCAGGAGGTTCGCCAGGAAGCCCTCCTTGATCAAGCGTTTTCCCTCCTTCAGAGAAGTAGGTGGCAAAGCGGAAAACTCCCGCAGCTTGGGCCACACCACAGAGTCCAGCTCCTCCGTCTTGTAGATGCGCGACACAAAGTTGAAATTGTATGCCTCGGCGGAGGAAAGTTTCTCATTAAGGAGCAGAATCTCCGAAGCTTTGGAGCGTCCAAGAATCATGGGCAGCAGAAAGGAAGAGCCTCCCTCTGGGACGAGACCCAGTTTGATGAATGGCGTGTAAAAGTATGCCTAAAATGAATAAGAGATGGCTGTTTAGCAGGGGCTATCGAGGTGTGAAGATCAGATTTACCTCCTCCGCACACCACGCGACATCGCAAAGTCCCACAATGGTGGCGCCTATGCCAATCGCAGGTCCATTTACCAGACTAATAAGAATCTTGTTGCAGTTTATAAAGCCCAGCACCATGGCCTTGAATACGTTATTTCCTTCTACAAGAAAGGCTTGGATGTCGTCCGTTTGACCACTTGGGGTTAAGTCATTTCCGGCCGTAAAGAAGTCGCCCACGCCGGTCACCACCACGATTGTCACGTCCGCATCGTCGTTCACTTCTCCCAGCACGCGAGCCAGCTCTTGGTACGCCACTCGATTCAAGCAGTTCTTCCTTTTGGGATTGTTGAATTTAACAATCAGAAGCTTGTCCTGCTTCTCCACTAGCAGCTCCTGGTACCCTTGGTATGCTGCCATCGATCTTTTTACGGAGAATCGCAGTTATCTCGAGCAAGTGGATGACAAAGTCCAATTAATGTGCTATTTAACTCATGTTTATTGTTGTTACCGCCATCGGATTACTTTCGTGTGAGAGTATGCGTGTGTGTGTTCAAATAAATTCGTGCGGTATGTTAGAGATGAACGATAGAATCGTTCCGAGGTATTTTTAAAGTCGCAGCTCACGATGAAAGAACATCTGATTGAATTAGAAATTTTTATTAGAAATTCCATTAGCCAAGCAACTAATGTGGCTGGTTGGTTGTGCTACGCAAGCTAGTAATTGATATCACCATATTGGCTAGGTAAATCACCAAAATTTTTAGCTATGAATAAATCTCTTTACATCGATCTGGCAGCTCTAGAAAGTACCGCAAAACATAAGTTATTTTTTGTGCTATAAACAACATTCCACTTAAGCTCTAATCTCATTTACAGCCATGCAAATATTAGCTTACAAGAAAGTTCAATGTTTACAGTTTTGACTTTCGCTTTCCAAAGTTCTTTATAACCTGCAAAAACTCCTCAGCATGAAAACGATTGATCAACTCCTTGCACTCAGCCTCATGAGCGTTCAGGAGGTTCACCAGGAATCCCTCCTTGATCAAGCGTTTTCCCTCCTTCAGAGAAGTAGGTGGCAAAGCGGAAAACTCCCGCAGCTTGGGCCACACCACAGAGTCCAGCTCCAAGGTCTTGTAGATGCGCGACACAAAGTTAAAATTGTACGCCTCGGCGGACGATAACTTCTCGTTGAGGAGAAGCATTTCCGAGGCTTTGGAGCGACCAAGAATCATGGGCAGCATATAGGAAGATCCCCCTTCTGGGACGAGACCCAATTTTGAAAATGGAGTGAGAAAGTATGCCTGAAAATAATAAGAATATGTTCAAGATCGAGATCAAATTATTGAGAGGTCAAGTTGGGACTTACCTCCTCGGCACACCATGCGACATCGCTGAGCCCCACAACGGTGGCGCCGATGCCGATTGCTGGACCATTAACCAAGGTAAAGACGATCTTCTTGCAGTTTATAAAGCTCTTTATCATGAATTTGAATATGACGTTTGACTGTACGAGATACTCAGTGAGATTGTCAGCTTTTCCACTTTGGGATAAATCTTTTCCAGCCGTGAAGAAATCGCCCACCCCGGTCAACACAACTATTGTCACGTCGGCATCATTGTTCACTTCCCCCAGCACGCGGGCCAGCTCTTTATAGGCCACGGGACTCAGGCAATTCTTCTTTTTAGGATTATTGAATTTCACGACCAGAAGCTTGTCCTGCTTCTCCACTAGCAGCTCCTGATATCCTTGGTACTTCATCTCTGTACTGTGAATGGCAGTGCCCTCGAGCAATTAACTGACAAAGTCCAGTTAATGCTGTGTTATCTCATGTTTGCCACTATCTGATTAAACTAGAAGACGTTGTCCCATTCGGTCTAAAAATAAATAATGCGCCATAGAGATGGGCGATATTCGAACTTCCAAGTATTAGTATAGAACAAGTCACGGACAAAAGTAGGTGCCGACAGAAATGTTTTGAAGCTCTATATGTGGAAGTGAAGATTCCATTAGCTATTATGATATTTTTCCTAGTATTTGTCATATATAGATACAGCTGATGGTAGGGTTGAATATTTTTCTGTAATATAGATGTTATGATTTGCATTACACTCACGTCACTGTTTTCACCGTATTGGTGAGTTCTGTCACGCCCCGCTGGCTGAATTTATCTTTTTGCATTGATCTGGCAGCACTGTCATTTACCGGTACGCTTGAAAAAAATATCGGATGTTTTATTTTGTGCTGTATTTACAACATCAACTTAATCGTTAATTATTCGCTAATCTCATCGATGACGGGCACATTCGCCAGCTCGGAGCATTTGCGCTTCCACATTACGAGCTGTTCCCGCAGCACCTTTTCCTTAGCAGCCGCGCGCGTAAGCAGAATTTTGGCCTTTTCCAACAGCTCCGTCTTCTTCGTGAGTTGTTCCTTGATGAATTTCAGTTCCCCGTTGGTGGCGTCCTTAAAAAGGTTAATAAAACACTAATTATTAATAACAAGGTGCAGATATAATATTCCTGACTAACCTTACTGCATCCGCTGCATTGGCTGCACTTGCTCCGCTTCTGGAGCTCTTGCTGCAGACCAGAAATCTTCTGCATAGACTCCGCATGCTGCTGTTGCCACTGGGCCACGTCTGAAGGTGTGGCCGAAGAGTCTACTGAGCTGCGTGACTCGCTCGAGCGCCTCCCGTCTTTGAGGAACTTATTCTCAGATCGCAGTTTCTCCACGAGATTGCGCAGCGAGAGAATCGTGTGCTCTGCCGACTGGCCCTGTTGGGTATTTACCTTGAGGCCGCTGCACTTGCAGAGCTCCCGCCTCGACTCGTTGCGTGCCATTTCCTCCTTGAGGGCGATAATGTAACTGGGAAAGGATATATTACGTATTGCCTTCCTTGTAAGTATTTTTAGGCTGTACTTACTCCTCCAAGTGTTTGATACGTTTCTGCAGTCTATCGGTGCTGTCGTTCTGCCGCAGAAGATCCGATTCCAGCTGCAACTGGAGATTCCTTGCCTCCATCCGTATGTTCTGAGCCTCTACGCCCTGGAACCGCTCCTGAAGTTTCTCAAGTTCTGTGGTGAGAGCATTACTACCCCGGCCCTCCAGCTCCATGGCAATAATCTTGCGCTGCTGCAGCTCAATGCGGTTCTTCAGCGCCTCGATAAGGTCCAACTTGCTCCTATCGTAGAAGTCGTGGTTATCCTGCGGCTGGGGATGATGCGCTGGCGAACTGCACTCGCTACTGGGCCCCGTGTATGTCTCGGGGCTCTCCGACGGAGAACACGAGAACTTGTTCACGCCCACGTGCTGCAGGTTGGGACACGAAGGAGTACGACAGCACTTGAGGGGATTGTTCGGAGCACTCGTTGGTCCTCCGCGCGCCACTTTGGTCTCTAGCAGATGCTTATCCTTCTCCAGCCTGGCAATCGTCGTGCGCGCCGCCTGCAGCAGGGCCCGCGACTTTTCCAACGCCATCTCCGTTTCTTCCAGCTTGGCCTTGTACTTGTCGGCCTGCTGCTGCCAGCGCTTTTGCTTCTCCCAGAGACCCACCTCATTTGCGCTGCGCGAACGCTGCGTTTCTAGAATCTTTTGCTGGCGCTGCATTTGGTCGCGAGTATCGTCCAGCTCCGCCTCCAGCTGCTGGATGCGCTTTTGCTGGTTCTCGTTCTTCACTCGCGCATTGAGCTCCGTCTTAATGGAGACCACGGGCCGCTTGACTAGTTGCTGGCGCAGCGACTGTGTGAGTTCTCGGGCCTGCTTCTCGCGCTGTGTGATAACCGTCAACTGTCGGCGCAGGGCCTCCACTTGCGTGTGGTAGATCTTGTTGGTGGCCTTTGTCCGACTGAGATCGGCAGACAGCTTCCCCATCTGCTCCTCCGAGTAGTGGGAACTGTCCTTGAGGTACCTCTGCTGATCTTCCTGCGGGGCGAGAAAAGTCTTCATATTTCTCTGGAGGATTCTTGCTAGTATGTTACTTACATGGAAGTTTTGCATTGTTTCCAGTAGCTCCTTTATATGCCTATCTTTCTCCACTATGAAGCCGCGTAATTGATCTAGTTCGGGATTTTTTCTCTCCAAGGCCTTTTCGTGTTTCTTCACGACTTTTAACCTGAAAAATGATACGTTTAGAGGTCTAACAGATCCTCTGGCTAATACTCACTTGTCCTTTAATTTTTTCACTTCCACTTCCTTTGCTTTCAGGCTTTTTTTGATGTGTTCCAGCTTTTCCTTTAGCTCCTTGATCTGCTTATGCAGCGTTGGCAGTTCCTTGAGCTCTTCTGTGTCCTGCTTCTCCTGCTCTCCTTCTGGCTCGTGGTCTGGTACTTCCACTACCATCACCTCGTCATCTTCGTCGATTGCTTCCTCCTGCGCTTCCTCCTGCGCTTCCTCCTGCGCTTCCTCCTGCGCTTCCTCCTCCGCTTCCTCCTCCGCTTCCTCCTCCGCAGGCCGCTCTGGGGAGCTGCTGTCCTCGAACATTTCTTCGATCTTCTCGTCGGTGAGGTCATGGACCGATGGCTCTGCACTCGCGGAGTCTACTGCCACTGGCTGCTTAGGTCGCTGCTCCAGCTTGTTTCGCAGCTCCATGATCTCCACATCCTTTGTCTTGATGTTACAGTTCAGATTGTTTACTGCGGCCCTGAGGGATTCGTTTTCGTCTGTCTGTTTGTCTGTCAACTGCTGGCTCTGTTCCCGTTCAGTTTGCAGTAGATCCTGGAACTTCTGTATAGACTTATCCTTTTCCAGGAGTAGTGTGTGGAAGGAAAGTATAGTCTTTTCAACGACACCGCTGTGAGGACTCTCGGGCTCGCGGCTCTCCGCCTTAGATGCCTCCAATTGCTTACGCAGTAGCTCGCAGCGTTCGTTAGCCTCCAGGAGTCTGTGGGCGGGGAAGGAGAAAGGTGAGTAAGTCGGAAGGAAATTACTCTTAGTATCCACTACTTACGATGCTTGCATTTGCTGCAGATCCTGACGAGAGCCCCTTCTGCTCCCCCCTGATGTTTGAACCGCTTGATGCTGCTGCGTGCGGATGGCATTCGTCTGGACTGCAGTCTCCAGCAGCTTTACAGGCTCCTGCGTTTGGGTGGACGTGTCCGAGTGAGGATGGCGTCTGCGGGGCGAGCCAATGGGCGAGGATTGCCTATCTATCAGTTGGGCTGCTCTTCGCATGGCCGGAACAGGAGCCACCTCTGCCTCCGTATTGGTGGCTGGATCCGCTGTCCCCGTATTGGTGGCAGCCTCCACTGTGGCACAGGGAGTCGTCTCTCCAGTGCCCTGTTCACCGAACAGAGCGTGTATGGTCTGCCAGTGCTCCGAATCTGTAGATTGTCGCACCCTCAGCTCGGACAGCTCCCGCTGGACCTCCTCCAGCTTCGTTTGCAGGCTCTCGCATCGCTGCTCCAGCAATCTCGATTGAGTTTCAGACTTGATAAGCTTGATCAACTGCTTGGAGCTATCCTCCTGGGGCGTAACCTTTGATTGTACTAACTCCAGGGCTTCTCGGATAGCTGCCGAGTGGTCTGCCTTCTGCTGCTGCTGGTGCTCCACCAAACGCTGCTGGAACTTATGGTAGGCGAACACAAAGTTGGTGAGGAAGATCAATGGTGTAAATTTGGCATATTTCTCTTTCAGTGCAAACAGCGAATGCTGTAGGAATCTGCAGGAAAGAGAATTAGATTGGTATTTCATGCATAATAATATTATGATGGTATTTACTTTTGTTTGATTTCACTATTGCTGAGCTCTAGCTGGAAGTCCTGTTGTGCCTGCGCCATCGAACGCTCAGTGGCCTCCAGTTGGGATTGCAGACCGTCTGCCTTTAGCTGGATTTGTTCCCGCTCCGCCTCCAAGCGGGAGACCTCTGCTTTGACTGTGAAAGATAAAGATGAGAAAGAATAGAAGAGGATAAGCTGCATGCCCCACTCACCACTATCTAAATCTCGTTGGACTTTGGCCAGCATTAGCTTCTCATTAGAGCTGCTCTGGAGATCGGCCACCAAATGCCGCAGACTGATGTGATTGTCGGTGATATCATTCAGAAGCTTTTGCTGCGAATGTATTTGCCCATTGGCCACTGATAGGAGACCTTCCAGTTGCTTTGTCTCCCGCTGCAATTCCGCTTGCTTTCCTCGCCAGGAGGCCAGTTCCTGCCGCTGCTGTTCGTACTCCTTGGCTGTCACGTAGTCCAGTTGATAGTTGTCCCCAATAATGCCATACTCGGCACAGATGTCTGGCAGTTTCAGTTCGCCCAGGAGCTGCTCCGTGGCCTGGCCCAGCTGCATACACAAGATGGCATTCCGTTGCTCCAGCTGCTGGTGTTCCTCGGCTGTGTACAAGTGCCGGCGATGTACATCTTCCAATTGATCCCGAGCGGCGGATAACTCGGCCTGTGTTTGCTTCTGTTGCCGCATCAGCACGGACTTATCTTCGATAAAGCGCAGCTCCTGGCGCCGGGATTCGGTGAGTAATTGATCATATTCCTGCCGCATATAACCATAGGAACTGCTATTCTTCTCCAGTTGCAGCTCTAAGCTGAGCACTTGCTCGTGCAGTTGCTGATTGTGGTTCAGCAGCTGGTTGCCATCGGCGCTCATGTGCAGACGCAGCTCTTCATAATGCTTTCGCAGGAGGGAAAGTTCCAGCAGCTGCTCTGACTTGGGAGCCTCTTCCATATTCGTGATGATGGGGCGTTGGAGTCCAATGGTTGTTTCAGTGGGCGTGCTAGGACGTGTGGCAGTGTTGATAGCTGGAAGAGCCTCGTCCTGCTCCTTCGGATGCTCCTCCTGATGCTCCTCCTGATGCTCCTCCTCTGGCATCTCTGGGACATCGCATAAACTTTGGACAGAGGAGAGCTCTCCCGTCTCCGAGTCGCTGCCATTTTGCTGCAGGAGCAACTGACGTAAAGCCTCTTCGCGTGCCTTTAGCTCCAACAGCTGCCCCTGTAGACGTTGGGGCGTGGAAATGCCACTGGGCAAAGCTTCGATGAGTCGTCGTAGCAGCTCTGAATCTATGGTAATGTGCTCGGAAGTGGCTGTAATGGAGAGTATGGAAGGGAGGGTGTCAAGGACATATCCGAGCTCTTACCATCGTACTCGCGCAGCTTCTCCAAGATCTCGTACATTCCCATGCGCAGCGTTTCGTTTTCGGCCAGGACTTCATCGTATCTGCTCTGCATCTCTGTGCTGGCTGCACAGTCTCCCTGTCCGCGTCGTGGGGATTTTTCCAGGGGCGTACTGGAGGGCAGTTCCCCCACCTCACTGACCTGTCGCAGAACATCATCCAACACAAGGGGCTCTCCGCGATTTAGTTCCAATAGCTTTCGCCTAAGAGGATTCCCAGGTGAGAAGAAAGAATCAAAGAATAAATCTCCGCACTCACCGTAGTTCGCTCTTTTCTAGCTTCAGCTGCAGACGCAGTTCTTCTGAGGTACGCAGCTTCAGCATCAGTCTTTCGATCTGCTTGTCCTTGTTGCGCTGCTTGGCGCGCGTATTCTTGGCCAGAACCACCACGTCTTCGGGAATGTTCAGTCGGCGACGCAACAGCGCGTTTTCCTGCAACACTTCGTTGAGGGAATTGAGCTCCTGGACATAGCTTCGCAGCTGCTTTTCGCGCTCCGCCAGCTTCTGTTCGAGGCTCGCGCTGCGACGCAGCGCCGGCAAGAGGCCATCCTCTTCACGCTTGTACGATTCGAGAGCACTCAGAGCATGCATTGCCTGCTTGGCCTTCACCACATTATCCTGCTCGGAGGCGTCCAGCATCTCGGAGAGCTGTTGGACACGGGCTTGCGTCACCGCGAGGCGTTCCTCGATCATCTGGCAGCAGGCACGCGGCTGTTCCGGATTTTGAAAGCGTTCTCGTTCTTCGGTAAGCTTCTTCATCACCTTCGTAGAGCTAATCATTTCTTCGGCCATGGACTTGAGCCTTGCTTCTAGCTTTTCAATGTGCTTCTCGCGGGTCTCGAGGATCTGTGGGGCAAAGAGTGTAATATTAAATAAGAAAAGGAAGCGGTGTCCCTACGTTTCGCAACTGCATTTTCTCCTCATCCTGTTTGCTGTGGCTAATCTTTGTGCTGGCAGCTAGAGTGTTCCTGCCCGTGGCCAACTGTTTTGTTAGTCGTTCCACCTCTTTTTCCTTGTCGTGCAGGGCTTTCTTCCAGCTGAGGCACTGGGTCTCGTACTTTTCGAGGAACTCACGCATCTCACTCTCATGCTTCTCGCGCTCCACTTCGAGAAAGGTGACATTGCCCTCGAGTCGTGTGATTTCCAGGCACTGCTGTTGCTCCTTTTCCCTGAGCGATTTGCGCTCCTGCTCCACCTCCGTGATGTCCTCGCTCAGCTGCAGAAGATTGGTCTTGATGCTCTGCAGCTCACGCTCCTGGACGACTATCGTTTTGGATTGACTAATGTTCTGGTTCTGAAGCGTCTAAAGGGAACGAGAGGTTGAGCATCCACTGAATAGTTTTCCGCCCTTCGTTCCACTAACCTCAATCTCTTTTAGCAGCCGCTTGATGTGCTTATTCTTGGTGTCGATGTTCTGCAGCAGCGTGTCCTGTTTGTCCAGCTCGGAAAGCGGATCGGACGAGTCCTTGTCGCTTGCCTCTGCTTGCTGGGCAGCCTCCCTGAGGCGCAGCTCTAGCTGCCTGATCTCTTCCCCCAACTGCAATTACAAATTGTTTAACTCTTCATTCAAAAAATCCTTTGATTGTCCCTGCATTCTCACCTCCTTTGTTTTACTTTTCAAACCATCGCGCTCATCCTCCAGCCTCTGAAGCATTCGCTTGAGCTTCTCGTTCTCGCCCTGCAGCCGTCCGCCACTGCCACCCTGTTCTAGTAGTTGGGCCGCCTGCTCGCCCTTGTACTCCAGCACGGCCAGCGTCAATTCTAGTGTCTTGCGTAAGGACTTTCGGGGCAGCTCCTCGAGCGTCTCGGCCAACTCCAGTAGCGTCTCGTACAGCTCCTGCTTCTGGCGCGCCGTAAATTCGCGAAACTTGCGCACAGATACAGTTTCCGGTATGTCCATGCTGGTTCTGGCTCATGGCCTCGCGCTTTGGCCGCTATTTTCGTTCTGAACAATGCACACTTTTTCCTGATTTTTCAGGCTACGATTCAGGCTCTCTCCTGAAAGTGCCGCTAACCTGTCACTTTTTTCGGTTGCTAGGTGACAGGTGGGTCAAAACAAACTCGGCTCGAATGGGGGTTGACTCACGTTCTGTGTGCTCCGGAAACGGGGTTGCTGCTGCTGCTGCTGCTGGCGCCTGTAAATGACCCACCGTTTGTTTTTGCTGGCATTTTGTTTTGCTACCTGCGTTCGGTGGCGTTGCGTTGCGTTTTGTCCACGTTTCCTGACAGGATAATTGCCCAAAAGAGGCGAATGCTCGCTCTGTGTGGATCCTCCACGTACTCCTTCCAACATTGGTTCGGGGAAGGAGCGGCTTGGTGCTCCTCCGTAAACAAAATGGCAATTGGTAACCAGGAAAGTGTTAATTGGCAAAGTGTCAAAGTACAAAAAGGGGGGAAGTCCCTGAAATTGAAAAGCCATTTCAAAGTTTCGCTGTTTCTCCTGGCATGTTATGCTTCTGCAAGTTCTTTTTGGCAGCTCTACACCTTCTCCTCCTCCTCCTTCCTCCTCTTTTAGACAGCTCGTTGAAGGCCCAGGCCTCCCAATTTTTGTCAGCCATTTACGTACATTTGTAAGAATAATTGAAACTAATGGCAAACGACTTTGGTTGCCCTCCCATTTTTGGAATCCCCCCCGTGTCCTTCTCGCTGTGAACGACTGCAGTTGTCAGCCGCAGGGCCCGAAAATTGAAATGATATTTCAAATGGCCAATTACCAATTTTGGCTCTTTATTGAAACCAAAAGAAAGCCCCAACCCCATGACGCCCTTCCTGTTGCACAAAACATGGGCATAAAATAATTGAAACTCAATTTTTTAGGCACACAGATCGGGGAGACCAGCCTTGTGGCTCTTGGCATCCATTTGGAGGAGCATTAGCTCGTAGGTCACGAGTGTAGCCATCATCTGGAAGGGTGTTAAAGCCACAAGTTAAGGATCAAGGGAATTATAGCCCAAACATCCACAACCTTACCCCAAAGAGACTCTTGCGTGTGAGGTAAAATAAACGATAGCCAGAGAGTCCAACGAACTCTGAGGTCAATTGACTGACGAACCGCTGCACCTCCTCTGTCCAGTGAGTGCTGGGCACCAGATAGAGCGTTCGAAGGGGCAGAAGCGAGGCATCGTGTATCTTGGAGGCGGACATGAAGACAAGGCTAGTGCGTGCCAGCAGGAAGAGCAGCGAGTACCAGAAGTACACATAATTAATGGGATGACGGAGCTTGCTGCAGCATCAGGATGGAGATCATTAAGGGTTTAATGGAGAAATTTTAGTATTAAAACTCACGTGAAGATAGCCAGCGCCTGATTGCAAATGACGTAGACATTGTTTGCACAGGACATAAGCACAATGTTGGACATGCTCTCATCCACGAGGCTCGCCAGCTCACAGAGACGTATGTGATCTCGGCGGATATCGTACCACAGGGTATCCGGAACTTGCTGAAATGGAATTATCAATAAGAGCAGGTGAATTAAGAGTTATACTTGATTGTCTTACACGACCCTGCAATGCCAGAACCCGATCTGCAAACTGCCGAAACCGCTGCGCCAGACTAATGCTCGTGAGGACTATGAAGATATCCATAAAATTCCATAGAAAAGTGAAGGCTGCGTTTAGCCACTGTCATTAAAAATAATCAACAATTAATTGGGGAAACATAGTATCAATCAAATAAGCTCCCATACAAAGCCATAGCAAACGGAGAACATGTTGTAAGGCAGCAGCTCGAAGGTTTCTGAGAATTCCTTCTCCAAATAGGATCCGAACGACAGACGCGAGTGATTCGTGTGGCAGTGAAAGATGTGCATGTGATAGCTGTAGTAGCCAGAGGCATAGTACAGCAAGTGATCCACTGGAAAAAAGGGGATAATGAATGAGGAATCAACTCAATCAACACTCACCCACTGCCAAAGATCCCACGACACAGCCTATGAGGCGTAGCTTAGATCGAAGGCTGTGCTTGGACGGAGCATAGGGTGCAAACTGCATGAGAATGTCCAAAGAGCTCCAGGGCAGAATGAGTTTCGACCAGGAACGAGCGAAGCCAGTAAAGTTCAACCAGTTGACGATCCCCACAATCAAGAAAACCAAATTCACTGCAACAAAAAATATAAAACAAGGATTTTGGATGAGGATTCCCCAAGAACCAGCAACAACTCACTCATATTCTTGGCATTCAGACCCGTTCTAAAGAGAATGTTCGCCTGCATTACAGTTTTGATCCCTCCCAGCAGCAAGAACAGTCCCGTAAAGCACATTCCAACGCTTCGGAGGCGGAACTTTACATCCTGCGGATCCCGACTGAGTACATTCGAAAGGGGCATGATGCCAAACAGCTGTGCTACACACAGATCTGTAGACAGAAGATGATACAAGGGCCACTGGCAGTGCAGGGGGATTGCATCACTTACATGGCCTGATGGCTCGATAGAAGGTATCCAGCTCCTTGAATTCCTTGCCGCCCTTGGCACAGCGCCATCTCATGGCCAGGATAGTGCGCTGCTTTTGCCGTCGCACCTTTAGGCGCCTCAGGATGCTATCCGGTGCCTTTGACATGTTCCTCAAGTCTGAACAGCAGCTAATCCAAGAGCTGTGTCTCATAATTGTTGTTTACGGATACAGCTCCCAGATCCGGACATGCGACCCAAGGCTAAAGCCTAAAGCCTGTAATTAGGTTCCACCGAAACGGCACTTCAGCGGTGGACAATGTATATTCTGTATGTGTTTAAGTTTTGCACTTCGTGTAAGCCTGAAGTTTCAGTGCAAAAACCGTCGGCGACATGGAAGGACCTGCCTTGAATGCGCGCAAAACAGGACCCAAAAGAAGGCATGAGTCATTACTGAGGACTCTGGCACAACCGGCAAACACTGTGCCAAAACTGGCGGATAAAACGCACCTGGAATTCAATGTGATTACCAGCGAGAAGCTGCCAGAGTATGCCCGGCTGGACATCTTTCATCGTGCTGTATATCCATGTGAGTATCCTCCAGTTGTACCTCTCATTCGTTTCTCAAAGGTTCGCCCTAGTCATGTTCCTGGCCCAGTGCTTTGCTGTGATGCCCTTGACTGGCATCCGGGAGCCCAATCCGCGACGAGTTCGCTTTACCTACAAATCGTTGCCCATGGTCGTTACGCTCACGTTTATTGCAGCCGCTTTGATGATGGAACTGGCCATGCTCAAGCACTTACTGCAGATAGGCATTAATGCCAAGAATTTTGGTGAGAATTTCAAGATTATCAAATGAGAAAAATACTCAATGTTTCATCTTGCAGTAGGTCTTGTGTTCTTTGGCTGTGTGTTGATTGCTTGCGTTGTCTTTATTCGTTTGGCCCGACGTTGGCCTCCGCTGATCCGCTATTGGACACGCACGGAGCTGGTCTTCACCAGGGCGCCCTACGAAATGCCCAAAAGGAACTTATACAGACGCGTGCAGTTGGCTGGCATGATGATCATTGGACTGTCGTTGGGTAAGAGACTCTTGGAGATCTGATAGAGTATTCCTGCTAAATTTCTTTGTTTTCTAGGGGAACATGCCATGTATCAGGTTTCTGCAATTCTGAGCTACAAGCGGCGCGTAAATTTGTGCTCTGCGGCGGCCAACATTACAGCTGTGACCAACTTCGAGGACTATATTAGCTTGAACTATGATTATGTGTTTCAATGGCTGCCCTACAGCCCCATCATTGCTTCTTTAATACTGGTATGCCATCTGAAGAATATTCTTTAGATATATGTTAATATTAATCAGTATTCCTTAGCTTATCAATGGAGCCTGCACTTTTGTGTGGAACTACATGGATCTGTTCATCATGATGGTCAGCAAAGGACTTGCTTATCGCTTCGAGCAGATCACGGCACGCATACGCAAGCTAGAGCATGAAGAGGTGGCCGAATCCACGTTCATCGAAATCCGTGAGCACTATGTAAAGATGTGCGAACTGCTGGAGTATGTGGACAGCTCCATGTCCAGCCTTATACTACTTTCCTGTGTGAATAATTTGTATTTTGTTTGCTATCAGCTTCTGAACGTGTTCAAGTGAGTGCAATCTCTGATCTCTGCTCTTAAGTATGATGTTTACATGTGACTTTAATCCCTTTGAAAATAGCAAACTCCGCTGGCCCATCAACTATGTTTACTTTTGGTACTCTCTGCTCTATCTAATTGGACGTACGGCCTTTGTGTTCCTCACGGCAGCGGACATCAATGAGGAGTCGAAGCGTGGTCTGGGCGTACTGCGACGCGTCTCCAGCAAGAGCTGGTGTGTGGAGGTGGAGCGCCTCATATTCCAGATGACCACCCAAACGGTGGCTCTGTCGGGCAAGAAGTTTTACTTCCTCACACGCAGGCTTCTTTTTGGAGTGGGTAGCCGTAGCCCTGCCCCCGTGGCGAAATGCTAGTTTATGTTGACACTCTTCCCCCTCTCCTCTCTCTCTCCCTCTGTGTCTGCCTGTCGTTTTAGATGGCTGGAACCATTGTCACATACGAGCTGGTTTTGCTGCAATTCGATGAACCCAATCGACGCAAGGGTCTGCTGCCCTTGTGCGCCTGATGACAAACAACATGCCCCCACATTTCTCGCCATTTGTCATGCCAGCTGCCACGGACAGACAGTGCTGCAATTAGTTTTAAATACTTAGTTGGTAAATTGCAAATCGTAAACAACAACCACGCCCCCGCTGTCCGTTCGGGAGGTGGTGCTGCCTGCCAGATTGCCACTCGAGTGTCCAGTGATAGTTTGGCCATGCCGCAGGGCGAAACATTCCATCGGGCGGTCTCGAAAGGTGCGTTGCAGATCGCCAGGGTACTTTTGGACTAAGTTTCATGGGACTTTTTCTTTTTCTTTATCTAGTTCTTTTTATTTCACAAATCTATGGCCTGCTGCCTGTAAGTAATGTCCGAGCCTTGGATGTGGAGGACATACGCTATCGATGGCTCTCCCCACGCATATTCTACTCCGCACTCATCATAGCATTGAATATCTGCGAATTTGGTGCCGTGTTAAATTATGTGGGACAGGTGGCCATCAATTTTCACAACTCTAGTACTCTGTCGCTATATGTTGTCTGTCTGTTGGAGCACTTTTTCTTTTGGCGCTTGGCCATCCAGTGGCCCAGCATCATGCGCTCGTGGCATAGCGTGGAGCAGCTTTTTCTGCGCGTGCCCTATCGCTTCTATGGGGAATACAGGATGAAGAAACGCATCTACATTGTGTTTGCAGTGGTCATGTTATCGGCTTTGGGTGAGTTTTGCGACTGTCACAAGAAATCTCTATCTAATGCTTATCCCATCTCCTTTCAGCGGAGCACTGTCTGCTGCTCACAAACTCCTTTCATCTCAGCAACATGGAGCGCACGCAGTGCAAGAATAATGTCACCTACTTCGAGAGTATCTACAGGTGGGAGCGTCCACATCTCTACATGATTTTGCCATATCAGTTTTGGATGCTCCCCTTTTTGGAGTGGATAAACGAGACCATTGCCTATCCGCGCTCCTTCACCGACTGCTTTATTATGTGCATTGGCATTGGCCTGGCCGCACGATTCCACCAACTCTATCGACGCATTGCTGCTGTTCACAGAAAGGTCATGCCAGCTGTCTTCTGGACTGAAGTGCGGCAGCATTATCTGGCCCTCAAGCGTCTGGTGCGTCTCCTGGATGCCGCCATTGCACCGCTTGTACTGCTGGCATTTGGCAATAACATGTCCTTCATATGCTTTCAGCTCTTTAATAGTTTCAAGTAAGTTTTGCGGGACATAAAAAGGCTTCTTCTGATGGTTTTCTTCAACAGAAACATTGGCGTGGACTTTATGGTGATGCTGGCCTTCTGGTATTCCCTGGTCTTTGCAGTAGTACGCACCTTGCTGACGATTTTTGTGGCCTCTTCAATCAATGATTTTGAGCGGAAGATTGTAACGGCTCTGCGGGATGTTCCCAGCAGGGCATGGTCCATTGAGGTGGGTATTGATTTTCGTCGGGATTTATCTAAGACTCTTTCTATGTGCAGGTTCAGCGCTTCAGCGAGCACCTGGGTAATGATATGACGGCCCTATCCGGCAGTGGCTTCTTCTACCTCACACGCTCACTTGTCCTGGCTGTGAGTCCCACCTAACATCTGTCCAATACTATGCCTCATCTATACCCTTTCCTTCCAGATGGGCACTACCATCATCACCTATGAGCTGATGATATCGGATGTGATCAACCAGGGCGGCATCAGGCAAAAGACTCAATACTGTAGAGAATTCTAAGTTATAAATTCGATAAATTCAAGAGCACGATTAGCCATAAGTGTCACCAAGCCCCATGCAATGCACTTGCACAGCTATTCAGATAATAATCTGCAAAATACAAGGCTAAATGTTAAACGAAAGGCACACGCCCCCTTGTTTGTGGTTCTGGGACACGCTCTAAATCATTTTCCACTCAACAGCGAAGCCATGAAGCAGGTCGCGACTAGAAATACGCTTCAGCATGCCATTGGACCATGTGAGTGGCGTGGATGTACTTAGATGTTCCTTTTGGATGCTACAATCTCTACCATTTCTAGTCATGGTTGTGGCACAATTCTTTGGTGTGCTGCCAGTGTCGGGGATCTGGCCAAGTTCGCCTGCGGAGAAGGTAAGCTTTCGCTGGTTCTCCCTGTCGTTTCTTGCGGCCGTTGGAATATTCGTCTTCTCCATTATGGACTGCGTTCTTTCCTCCAAAGTGGTGCTCGATCATGGCCTAAAGATCTATACTATTGGTGGGTAAATCATGTTATTTCCTTTGTGTTGTGCTGTATTTCCATTGTGCTTACTCTTCTGCAGGTTCTCTCAGCTTCAGCGTGATTTGCATCTTTTGCTTTGGAGTCTTCCTCCAGGTCTCCCGTCGCTGGCCGCATCTCATTCAACGGACAGCGGAGTGCGAGCAGATCTTCATGCAGCCCGGCTACGAATGCTGCTTTGGCCGTCGCTTCAGTCGTCGCCTGCGGCTCTGGGGAGTGATTCTCTTCGTGGCCGCCCTCTGCGAACATTGCACCTACGTGGCCAGCGCCTTGTACAACAATCATCTGCAGATTGTCGAGTGCAAGCTGAATGTAAACTTTTGGTTGAACTACTTTCAGCGCGAGCGCCAGCAGCTCTTTCTAGTGCTCCAATTCTCCTCCTGGTGGATACCCTTCATCGAGTGGACCACCGTCTCGATGACTTTTGTGTGGAACTTTGTAGACATATTTCTAATTCTGAACTTTCGGGGATTGCAGATGCGCTTCCAGCAGATGCACTGGCGCATCCGCCAGAATGCCTTTCAGCGGATGCCAAACGAATTTTGGCAGACAGTGCGCTGCGATTTTCTGGATCTGAACGATCTGCTCAGCATCTATGACAAAGAACTATCTGGACTTATAGTCCTCTCCTGTGCCCACAACATGTACTTTGTGTGTGTGCAGATATATCACAGTTTTCAGTGAGTTTTTGGGATCATATTCCCCCACAGTGTTCTTTTCATTCATCTTAATTTCTGTAGATCCAAGGGAAACTATGCCGATGAGCTTTACTTCTGGTTCTGCCTGTTTTATGTCATTCTGCGGGTCTTGAATATGATGTTGGCTGCCTCTTCCATACCCCAGGAGGCCAAAGCGATATCGGACACTCTCTACGAAATACCCACGGAATTTTGGAGCGTGGAACTCAGGCGCCTAAACGAGGTCTTGATCTCGGAGAACTTTGCCCTCAGCGGCAAGGGCTACTTTTTTCTGACTCGAAGGCTGATATTTGCAGTGAGTTGGAGTCTTATGAAATTGATCGGATTTCGTGTAATTTCTCATTTCTTTCAGATGGTCGGCACCTTAATGGTCTACGAGCTGGTTCTGATCAACCAAATGGCTGGAACTGTGTCCCAGAAGAGCTTCTGTGACGGCGGTGTCGGCTCCTCCAAGAGCGTATTTGCCTAATGGGCTGTCTGTTTGTTTGTTTTGGATTTCTCGCACCTATCTGCAATATCTGTGTAATGGCACACATTAGATCTTATCTTATATCAATACAATATAATGCGTGTCAGAGAATGTTCCTGGGGCTGTGGCACCCTTGCAGAATGTTAGCCATTTGTTTGGCACCAGCCCTCAAATGGAGTGGTCCGCACAGAGTGTTCCAAATAGGAATACCCTGCACCATGCCATTGGATATGGTGAGTGCAAATCTGTGAAAGGAACAACCTTAAAGGTTAGATTTATTACAGTTCTGGTTGTGGCCCAATTTTTTGGCGTGCTACCTCTTTCCGGAGTGGAACCCTCTGTTCCGGTTGCAAGTGTTCGCTTTCGATGGTTCTCCCCGTTGAATCTGTTACCAGTGGCCGCGCTTTGCTTTGTTCTTCTAGATTTCGTGCTGTCGGCAAAGCTTGTGATTCAAAATGGGCTCAAGCTGTACACCATAGGTAAGAGAAGCATCATATCAGTGCCATATCATCCCCATAGTCAAATGATATCTTTGCAGGATCACTAAGTTTTAGTGTGATTTGTATTTTCTGCTTTGGAGCCTTTCTGCTGCTTGCGCCACGCTGGCCGCACATCATCCGTCGAACATTTGAATGCGAGCGGATTTTCCTGCAGTCCTGCTACAATTCCTCCATTGGCCGTCGCTTTAGCCAACGCCTGCGACGCTGGGCCATTGCTCTGCTGGTGACTGCCCTGTGCGAGCATCTTTCGTACGTGGTTAGCGCCGTGTGGAGTAACTGGAAGCAGATACGCGAATGCCATCTAGACATTGACTTTTGGCAGAACTACTTCCTGCGCGAGCGCCAGGAACTGTTCTCCATTTTGCCCTACAGCACGTGGTTCGCGCTGTATGTTGAGTGGTGCACCCTCTCTATGACGTTTGTGTGGAACTTTGTGGACATATTTCTGATTCTGGTCTGTCGTAGTATGCAGATGCGCTTCCAGCAATTACACTGGCGCATTCGTCAGCACATTGGGCGGCGCATGAGCGACGAGTTTTGGCAAGAGGTGCGTTACGACCTCTTGGATCTGAACGATCTTCTAAAGCTGTATGACAAGGAACTGTCTGGCTTGGTGCTCGTCGCCTGCGCCAACAATATGTACTTTATTTGTGTTCAAATCTATCATAGCTTTCAGTAAGTAAAGATAATTCTATCCGAAGATATTCCCTGATGTATTTTTACTATATTTAGAGTCAAAGGAGCTGTCTTGGATGAGGTGTACTTTTGGTTCTGTCTACTTTACGTTGTCAGTCGCATTGTAAACATGGTGCTTGCCGCCTCCTCCATCCCCCAAGAGGCCAAGCAAATCAACTTCACACTCGATGAGGTTCCCACAAGCTGCTGGAGCAAAGAACTGGAGCGCCTGAGCGAGATCTTCCACAACGAGGCCTTTGCACTTAGCGGAAAGGGTTACTTTGTGCTCACCCGAAGGCTGTTATTTACGGTGGGTTCTTTAATATGTACCCTTTTGAAGCTTTACGATGACATCTTTCAGATGGCCGCCACTTTGATGGTCTACGAACTGGTTCTGATCAACCAAATGGAGGGCGAAGAGGTCCAAAGGAGCATCTGCAACCGTGGTGCTGGCTCCTCTATGAGTATTTTCTTCTCGTAATTCCCTTTCAGCAGTTCCCGTTCGCCTTGCGTTTCCTTTAATGCATTCTTCATGGAACTGTCATGCTGTCAGCAATTGGCTCTTTAGCTCAAAGATTATGCACATGATAAGCCGCACAATTGGCACGGACACCATCAATTAGTCGGAACAAGCAGCACAGCGCACCCTGCTTTTGGCTTCGTTTTCAGTTTCGTTTGTGGGCTTCATTCAGTTGTTAGTCGAGCTCCGAACATGGCCAGGACAACGGGGGATCCCGCCAAGCGTCAGAAATGCATTGCTCGCATTAAGTTCTGGCGAAGATCGCGAGTGGGCAGCGAGTATGTGCATGCACTTGAGAAATACTACCCAATACCCAATACTAATCTGTCACTATATTTGAATAGTATTACTCTGGGAATCTTCAAGTATAAAGTGGTCTCCAACCAATCGCAACGCTTTCAGTTTTCCAAGAGTAGGTGGGATATCTTTCTGGATTTGTTTATAGTTTCCCTTCTTTTGCAGTAAACGCTTTCCTGCGTCGGGCCGTACGGGATGATTACAGATACAGCGGTTCCTTCCAAGAGGCCATCAAACCAGGTAGAGTATTCAAAGCAATGTTCCTTCAATCCTCATTTAATAGTTCCCTTTTTTCAGTACTCATTATTGCCCAGATCTTTGCGCTGATGCCTGTGCGTGGCATAGGTTCAAAGTTGGCCGAAGACCTAACCTTCGCCTGGTCCAGTGCTCGCACATATTATGCTTTGGCAATGATGATATCTTTTGGGGTTACCTCTGGATATATCGTTGCCTTCATGACGAATATTTCCTTCGACTTTGATTCGGTGGAGACCATGGTGTTCTATGGATCCATATTCCTCATCTCGATGTCTTTTCTGCAGCTCGCAACGAGATGGCCAGCCATTGCCCAGGAGTGGCAGGCAGTGGAGACCAAGCTGCCGCCGCTGCGACTGGGAAAGGAACGCCGATCGCTGGCCCATCACATCAAGATGATTACGCTGGTGGCCACCACATGCTCTCTGGGTAATACTTGCTTTTACTTCATGATTCGCATTATTTATTGACGTTCCTTACAGTGGAGCACCTGCTGAGCATGACATCCACGATGACCTATTCAGTGGCTTGTCCGCACTGGCCCGGTCATCCCGTTGACAACTTTCTGTACTTCAACTTCGCGACCGTGTTTCATTTCGTAGACTACTCCACTTTCCTGGGTCTGTTAGGCAAGGTGATAAATGTGCTGAGCACTTTTGCCTGGAATTTTAACGACATCTTTGTGATGGCCGTCAGTGTGGCACTGGCATCACGTTTCCGGCATCTCAACGATTACATGCAGCGCGAAGCAAGATCGGTATAAAGAGAGCCACAGGGAAATGATTACTTCTAAGAGCTGTTTTTCCATTTTCAGGCCACCACAGTGGACTACTGGATGCAGTGCAGAGTCAATTTCCGGAACCTTTGCAAACTCTGCCAAGTCGTAGATGATGGCATCTCCACCATAACTCTCCTCTGCTTCAGCAATAATTTGTATTTCATTTGTGGAAAGATACTGAAGAGCATGCAGTAAGTTATGGCTATATATCGTGGCTACTTTTAATGATATTCTGACAGGACAAAGCCCTCTGCCTCGCACACCATGTACTTCTGGTTCTCGCTCACGTATTTGCTGGGCCGCACACTCGTTCTGTCGCTCTACAGCTCCAGCATCAATGACGAGTCCAAGCGACCGCTGCGCATTTTTCGTATGGTGCCCAGAGAGTATTGGTGCGATGAGGAAAGCCAGGACAGAACTTCCATTTTATTCAGAAAAAGTAATCTTTTACTTTTTATTTTAGCTCAAACGCTTTTCCGAGGAGGTGCATATGGACACGGTGGCATTGACGGGCATGAAGTTCTTTCGTCTGACGCGTGGCGTTGTCATTTCGGTCCGTACATTCAGATGGATTATCCTTAGTCATGTCGATTAATAGAATACTATATGTACTATATACCCTGTGCAGGTGGCAGGAACTATCGTGACCTACGAGCTTATTCTGCTACAGTTCAACAAGGAGGAAACGACGGCGTTTACCTGTGAAAATGCCTAATGTGGCAAGGGGAGGCCACAAATTGTGTGTAGTTTTATTGTCGCTGTTGCTTTAATTATAGACAACTGAAAACAACAGGTGTTTTTAATGGCCATTCGCATTGCAAATGGAAATTCGCTAGTCTAGCAGCTTTTTTTTCCGCAGTAGTCCTTTGGAGTTGGACACAGTCGGAACGCAGCATGAAATTTCTGCCTGCAAAGCTCGAACGAAAATTCCGTCGCTTAAAGAAGCACTCGAGGTCATCATTGACGCGAAAACTTGATGTGATGCACGAGAGGTAAAATGATGAAATAGTTATAATTGTAGAATTAATCACATATTATCTCAATCCATTAGCGCTCGCAAGAAAGTCATTGAAGAGAACTGCGATGCCTACAAAAATCAAAAGCAGTCGGAGTATGAGTGTAGGAAACGACCGACAAGTAGCTAAGCCCCATCCTCCATTTGTGTCGCTAATAGAAATATTTCCATAGAATTCCCTGGCGGCACGAGGGAAACATTTCTCAGCGAAGGCAGTTTCCACCAGGCCGTGGGCAGGGTTCTGCTCGTGGCCGAGTTCTTTGCCATGATGCCGGTAAAGGGAGTGACGGCCAAGCATCCTGGAGATCTAAGCTTCTCCTGGCGCAACGTACGCACATGCTTCTGCCTGGTATTCATCGCCTCAAGTCTGGCAAATTTTGGACTCTCCCTGTTTAAGGTGTTGAACAATCCCATTAGCTTCAATAGCGTCAAGCCCATCATCTTTCGTGGCTCTGTGCTGTTGGTTCTCATTGTGGCTCTCAGGTTGGCGCAGCAGTGGCCCACTTTGATGATGTACTGGCACGAAGTAGAGCAGGGCTTGCCGCAGTATCCATCGCAGGTGGGAAAAGGCCAGATGGGACACACCATTCGAATGGTTATGCTTGTGGGAATGATGCTTTCCTTTGGTAAGATGTGTACATAATTGAGAATTGATTATAAATTTTGTTTTTTAACCACAGCTGAACACCTACTCAGCATGATATCGGCCATTCATTATGCGAGATATTGCAATAGCACCTCTGATCCCATCAAGAACTATTTTCTTCGCACCAACGATGAGATCTTCTACGTGACCAGCTACTCCACGGCCCTGGCCTTGTGGGGAAAGTTCCAGAATGTCTATTCCACGTTTATATGGAACTATATGGACATGTTTGTGATGATTATCAGCATTGGATTGGCAGCAAAGTTCCGACAGCTAAACAATGACTTGAGGAACTTTAAGGGAATGGTGAGTGGAATAGTTCTCCTTCCTCCTTCGCCTTTCATTGTATCTTCCTTTAGCACATGGCGCCTTCGTACTGGTCGGAGCGTCGCATTCAATACCGAAACATTTGCGTTTTGTGCGACAAAATGGACGATGCCATTTCCCTCATCACAATGGTGTCTTTTTCGAACAACCTCTACTTCATATGCGTCCAGCTCCTGCGTAGCCTGAAGTTTGTACAATGATTTCTGGCACATTTGCTTGTTCATTTATGCATTTTGCCATTTTCAGCACAATGCCTTCGGTGGCCCATGCCGTTTACTTTTACTTCTCTTTGATATTCCTCATTGGCCGCACGCTGGCTGTGTCTCTGTATTCCGCCAGTGTCCACGACGAGTCGCGGTTGACCCTGAGATATCTGCGCTGCGTGCCAAAAGATTCATGGTGTCCGGAGGTCAAGCGCTTTTCGGAGGAGGTAATCAACGATGAGGTGGCACTCAGTGGAATGAAGTTTTTCCATCTCACACGGAAGTTGGTGTTGAGTGTAAGTAAACCTACAATCGATTCTGGAATGGAATATCTTTATTAATATAATTTTTCTTTGTGAAGGTGGCAGGCACCATTGTTACCTATGAGCTGGTGCTTATCCAGTTCCACGAGGATAACGATTTGTGGGATTGCAATCAGAGCTATTACTCTTAAGTTGAGAGATGGTTTTATTTGCATAATAAATAAAAAAAATCATCTTGCACTTTATTATTATTATTATTGTTTGAAGCAATTAAAGGAAACCAACAAAATGTCGACCGTAATATCAATCGGTTATATTGCCTAAATTGTACGTCAGATTATCATCCATCTATAGAGAGAGAGAGATTCTACATGTGTTCCGCGTGTGTAGACTTTACAAATATCAAACGTTCTTCAAGAATGGTCACTATATATGTATTGTATCACTTATAGACTAAACGGGGCTTCCTACAGATGGTGGATACGAGTACGAGTATTACGATTATGTGTGTGTATGTGTATGGTGCAACCTACGATTTACTGGCATGGGGTCTCAGTGGTCTTAGGTCGTGCGGTGGCGAAACAGCTCGGGGAATATACAATATGCAGTGAATGCAAAATTCAGCTAAAGATTTTCAATTACTTATGTTTAAATTCAGTTTTCCCGTGTCGTCTCGTTTTGTTCGTTTTTTTGTTTGCAACTACACAAAAAAGGTAACATGTTCGGAAGTTTTGGTGGTTTCTGGTTGCTTATGATGTCTGTTTTCCCATTACAAAATATATGAATATTGTATTGTATGAAGCGGAAGCTACATGATAATTACTATGATATCTATATGTATGCGTATAGGAATCCTAGCACATGTCGCGTGTGCATATGCATGTGTCTACTAATACAATTGTACGGCTGCCAATAAAGAACTACAAAAACTTGTTCGATGTTTTGCTAAAACGCTTCCTCTTGCTTCACACTCGCGCAGGGGAAGTAGGATATGAGAGCTACGTCTGGTAGAAGGCAAACACAAAGTATCACAAAGATTGAGATCTTAAATTAAAGCATAGCGAGAGGGAGAGAGGGATAGCTCAAATAATCGATTAGTGGATGAAGATGGGGAATGCTGAAACACAAATGGCGAGTGTTTTGCGTTTGAATGAAACAAGTCTAGAGAGTATTTGCAGATTCTCAATGTCGCTTGGCATCGTACTGCTTCACCTTCTCCGGAATGGCTGCCTTCTCCACAGCCACATGCAGACCCAGCTCCTCCAGAGATTTTACATAAATCAGTTTGCGCCAGAACTTTGTGCTACCAAGAATATACGAAATTCCCAATATGGCAAAACGAAAATGTTGTGCTTAGATGCTCACCTGACAAACGGACGTGCCATCCACACCAATGACTTGATCCAAAAGGTTGGGTGCACCAAATACATGTGTTTCAGACTCTTGCGCAAGCGTCTATCCAGCAGTTGATAGCATCTAAAGGGGAAAAAAGGCCTTATCCAATGATAAGATAATCGGATACCATGTATATACGTACCGCTTCAGCCATGGAAAGGGCGGCACATTGCGCCTATTAGAGCCGCCATGCAAGTAGATTAAGACATAATCATCTGTCACCAGTTGCTCTAAGGTCTTAACCACATAGAGGAACAGATTGTCCATCACATAGCTGTAGTCGGCCCGCGATCGATCCGGCAAGTGACAGGCGCAGAAGATGACTATTGCATTCTGACCGCCAGACTTCAGATAGCCGCCATGTGACAGCACACGCTTGTAGGGCTCGATGACCCGCATGTCGATCTCCCGCGTGCGTCCATCTGGTAGTGTGATCTTCTGCCAATTCCGTGAATCGCGCCGCTCTTCGGCAGCCGAATACTGTGGTAGGGTCGCCGCAGCCGGAGTGTGTGGCGTGGGCGTTGTGGCCAGACCAAAATCCAGGTCCAGATCATCGTCATTGTCGGGCAGTAGTTCAGGACCTTCGCACTCATCGTCATCGTCCTCCCCATCCAGGCCGTCGATGAGCGAGCTCGAGGGACTCAGCGACGCCAGATTGTGTTCGATATCCTCATCATCATCGAAGCTATGGTTTGAGATAGAATCCAGGCTTGAGATGTCCTCGCCACCAGGCAGAGTGCTGCCGCGCTTCGTCTTCTTGCCATTGGAGTTGGGCAGCAGGGAAACGGATTGAAAATTGGACTCCACAGCAGCAAGGTACTGCGAAACATCCGCATCCGATTCGCTGCTGAGGATGTCGGGGCTATTGGTCCTCAGAAGACTGACTTTGGCATCCTGCGGCTTGTTGCGGGGGGCTTGTTGGTTCAGTGTGTTCTTCGCCTGCACGGCCGCCTCGGTGGCGGGTACTACGTCGGGAAAGTTGTTCCGCTTGGTCTGAAACGGCTCGGAGTCCGAGTCTGTGTTCGTCGGTGACATCAGCGGGTGGCTGTTGGCCAGCGTGCGTTCAATGATTTGTCGTTGTGGCATCGTTTCGATGGACAGCAGCTCCGGTCGCATTATTCTATTGTCCAGGGTAGCGCTCGTGTTGGTGTCTTTTTCTTCCTCCAGAATGGTTTTCACCTGGGGCGCAGTGTCCTGCGTACACTCATCGGCCAGCGGGGAGATGCCCGTCGAGTCCGTGGGCGTCTCGGAGATGTCCATTTTGCTCTCTGACTGCGACGATTCCGATTCCGCGTAATGAAAACTGTAAATCGATTAGTCATATGTAGTGGGACGGATGTATTGTTTTGTGTGTTGGCGGGGGAGATCCGCGCTTTACCTCATAGTTCCCAGTGTTTTTCGAATAGCTTGTGTGAAAATTGGCTTGCCCACTCATCTAGGCAATGCTAAATAATGGCAGTGCATCAGTCGCTTTGCTTAATTAGTCAGCTGTTGTAGCTTAATTTTCTATTTTTGTTGTAAACAAATTTTCCTCTTTTGGGCCCAATCTAGAGTTGCCAACATTACTCAACGAAATATCAGAATTGAGCAATAGAAACGATTACTCTTAGGTTTTTTTTGTTTGACCTTTTTCGCTAAAACCGTTTTTTAGGCCAAATCCAACATGAGCAGGTATTTAAAATAAACCAGTCAAGTAAAAAATAGATTCATTAATTGGATAAAATGATGTGGGCAGGGCTGAGAGCCGATCAAAAACGAGGAATATGTATAATAGAACTTGAATTCGTCAGTATATTTACGGTATATTTTGAAAATGAGGCGGTATGTTTCGGTATATTTCTGGGGGTCGGACGGTATATTTTATCGATAAATCCGCGGTCACACTGCATCTCTACTTCACATTGTTGTGGCGTCGTGAAAAAAAAATTAAAATTTTTAATAAGACTATAATAATTGCAATGGAAGGTGCACATATTGTCGTTGACAATACCGATACAGTGCCTGTCCGCACACAGAGCATTTCTGTTCCCCCAATTATTTCGTCCCCTGTTTCCAGCGTAGGCGTGACTTCCATTTTGACAGCGACGCCTGCAGCAGCCACAACAGCGACAACTGTGGCAGCGACGGCGACAGCGACAGCGACTTCGACAGTGGCAGTGACGGCGACAACTCCTCCGCGAAATCCGATTCACAATCTTCCAATTGAACTGCAGAATGATCAGAAGCGCAGAAGGTGAGTCAGAAAACATCCAGTCCCCAAACTTTTGCTAAGTAATCTTTCCGCTTGATAGCTCCTCGCGCACCATCAAACGGAAACGTTTTGATGATGAAATCGTCGAGTACAACATCACTGTGCCCACGAGTCGTGGAGGAGCAGACCCTAGCCGCAGGGACAGGCCACGCACCAGTTCGCAAAACTATCCAGCTCTGATGGGAATACCCACATCTCTTAATATGCATGCGGCACCCGCTCCCATGCTAGAGACCCCTCCTACACCGGGATTAGTGGAATGCCTTTTGCCTGGAACTCCAAGTGGCACAGTGGCCTCTGTTTCCCCGGCCACGCCCACTGCTGCACCGCCAGTCACACCAACGCCTCTAGTTGTGCCAGTGACTCCGAAGCCAGTCGTGGAACGTGTTCCAGCCACCGATAGACGGCCGACTGTTCGGTCCGGGCGGCCGACCAGCAAGAGGTCACAGCGCCGCAATGGCCGTCCCTTGGCACAGCTAGCCACCAAAGATTTGGGACGCTGGAAACCCTGCGACGACATGGCTTTGATCATCGGCATTCAGCAGACGAACGATTTGCGGTTAATCCATCGCGGTGTGAAGTTCTCGTGCAAGTTTACGGCCCAGGAGCTCCAGCAACGTTGGTATGCGTTGCTTTATGAACCGGCAGTGTCGCGGATTGCCGTCTCCGCTATGCGCAATTTGCACCCCGAAATGGTCGAGTCCATACAGCGAAAGGCCCCGTACAGTACCCAGGAGGAGGAACTGCTGGGCACCATCAGTAGTGTAAGTAGAGATATGATGTGAATCTGACTAAGAAAAGCAGCTTCTTATACATGGACTCCCCCATCCCACAGACTGAAACACCCAAGCTGGAGCACTTCCAGAAGCTGCTCGACAAGAATGCGGGTGTTTTCTACTACGCCCGCACCGCCAAATCGCTACACAACCACTGGCTGCTCTTAAAGCAGTACAGTCTGCTGCCGGACCAGGTGGTACAGCCGCTCCATGGCTTGGAGCAGACGCTGCTGAGCTTCTCCGACGCAGAAGAACAGGTTTTCGAGAATGATGTTAATGTGCCGCGTGACGAAGCGCTGGAAATGGAGAGGGCTCTCACGGATCGCCGCAACAAGCGGGACATTCGCGTGCTGGAGAACGAGCTGTCACGTTGGGGCGTCCTGGTGGACTCTGTGCTAGGATCAACGGCTGCCTCTGAGTTCGACAACCAGACTCTGGCCTGTTTGTGCGGCCGTAAGGTGCGCTATCTGATGCGCTCCAAGGAGATTACATTCGGACGCGATGCCAAGGACTATTTGATTGATGTGGATCTGTCGCTGGAGGGTGCTGCGGCAAAAATCTCTCGTCGCCAGGGCACCATCAAGCTGCGCAGCAATGGCGACTTCTTCATTGCCAACGAGGGCAAGCGGGCCATTTTTATCAATGGTACGCCTCTGCTGACGGGCATGAAGACGCGACTCGCTCACAACTGCATCATGGAGATGTGCGGACTGCGCCTAACCTTTCTGGTTAACTACGAGCTGATCAATGCCATACGCCATGAGAGCGCTAAGACATCGAATTCCCTAAATTAGCTCCCCTATGAGTGTCGCATTAAATTCTAATTCCATAAGTCTAGTGTTCAGAATGAAAAATCAATATGTGTAACATCATAAACTAATGTGACGCCCACCTGAGGAGCTAACAGTCGACGATCGCAACGCCTCCAATCGAATGGAAGCCAGAGTTCTTAAGAGGAAATGGAAAAGAGTTCCAATCTCCCGGATTTTCGGCCCACAGTCTACCGCCGCATCGAATCTGGCTCAAGACACCTACGCCGTGCCGCCACAACTTCACAACAACGTCAATGTCATGGAGTTAATTTGCGGCTAACTCGTAAGCTGCTATTAATTACTGCTCAGACTCTCGAAAGTGGCTGCTAAGACACCATAACCATCTATCCATAACCATTCTATTTGCATGTCACCAGCGCTGCGTCGCTTACAAAGTGAATTAAGCAAATAAAGATCCGCGTCTGTTGGGAACTTTTGCTCACGCGATTGTCTAAGATCTCTGTTCTATGTTTTCAGTTCTCAGTTGTGTGTGGCGACATGGTCTCGGGCTTCCATCTGGGAAGGAACCTACCGGGGGGCCGGCACTTAATAGCCGCCGATTGTGTTTGGGCAAATTTGTTCGACCTTGCGAACTCTGCGAACTCCCAAGTTCCATTTACAAATTGTAACAGATCGGGCGACTCCAAGGGGAGATTGACTCCCCGAAACAGTCCGATAGCAAAGGTTATAAATGATGGCTGCTGTTAAAATAATTAATTAATCGACTGACAGGCGAGGACCATGACACATAATATAGAAATTAGTCGCCAAAAAGAACCACACGGAGAAAGTTCGATGACTTTCTGGCAGCCAAAGCAGCAGCAGAAGCGACGGCCTTTCTTCGAGGTCGGATTCGGATTCTGTTTTGGGTTCGCTTTGGGTCTTTCGCTCTTTAATTTGTATTGTTGATACTATAAACTAATAAGCTGTCGGGCCATGCAAGCTGCGCAGCATATTAAAATATAATTAATTGTTGTCACTGTCTATAAAAAGTCAATTTACTTTTTGGCCATACCAAGAATTTCGTGGTCTTGGTCTTGGTCCGTCCAAGTTCTCCCATTCCATCCCATTCTCCAGCTTCTCCATCTTTCTCCGCTTTGTTTCTCCTGGAATTCCAAATTCTAACGTTGATTTGTGTGCATTTTTTTGTTCGCCATCTGATCTCAGAGCCAATCGATGGAATGGACCTATGGATGGATGGTGTTGGTGGTGTGTTCTGCTGCTGCTGCTTTCTTTTCCCGATGCCCAAGATGATGATGGGAGAGCTAATGAAGCTTGGCTTTGTCTTATTATATCTTTTGTGCAGTTCACCGAACTTTTGTTGTTGTTGTCGTTGTTGCTGTTGTGGTCCGATATTCCGATATTTTGGCGATGTCGCAACTGCTAAAATTAGTCTGAAGCCCGTCTTGGGGGCTCTTTCTCTTCTCTATTAGCGTAGGTCATGCTGTTTGTCCGCGCGACCGAAGTGGAGCACTACATGGGATCTTCATTTCACATACATATGTGCGAGAATCTATGCTGGTTGGGGCGTTGCGTGGGGGTCTCTGTCTCTCGATAGAACTTTCACAGTTTCTTGGGCTGAGATCACCCAAGTGTCCGAGATCTGTGCGGGGAAAAGACACCTGTAGGCACGGCACCCATTGATTGCTCCAGTTCAGGGTGACATAATAGTGCGATTATCTCATTGAATTATATGAAGTGAATAACAAAATTGTCAAAAGATTCGTGACTTTGCAGGAAAATAGTCCAAAAACAATCGATGTAAGGCCATAAAAATAGGCTACCAATCGACTTCGATATGCCAAAATCATGGGGCCTGCCTTCCCTCTAGTACAGTCCCTGCCATAAGTGTGATTATTCAACACCGCAGAAAACTCTGTAAAACGGTTTTGTAGCTTTGAAATTCATTTTGCTAATCGCATTTCAATCAATTTCATTTCAATTGTCGGCTCCGGGGGCTGTGTGGATCGACATTTGTCGTAGACGTGCATGTCGCATGCGTCATGTGAAATATTCAAATTTTGGTTTTGGTTTTGTCGAGTTTTGCATGTAACGCATAAATAATACTCTAGCTAGCAGGTCGAAAACACTACTGCGTGTTGTTCCGCGTCGCTCATACGCACAGTGGGCCGTCAAAGTCAGCGTCGGGTGTGCACTGCATTTATAATTCCCCGTAGTTTTGTTTATTGAACTGGCTGGCAAATATATTGTATCTCTAGCTTTTGGGCTGTGACTATTCATGGAATGCACGCTGATTTATTTCACCTATGCCTCCCCTCCCCTTTGTCGCTGCCCGAACCACATGCGAGTGTGAGTGTGAGTGTGAGTGTGAGGGTGAGGAAAATGATTTCATTTGTGGGCGACGGGCGTGACGTCAGCCATCCAATGCATCCATCGAGATCGGTGGCACAGCCTATGGAGCAGCCTCACAGTTGAATGGATTGATCCGAAACAGGGGGCCTTGAGGTTCTCTGCTCCATTAGACGGCGGCGGCGGTGGCGGCGGCGGCGGCAGCCACTCACCCACGCACTCCACATCACGTCACACACACTCGTAGCTCGTATCTCTGTGGCGCCAAAATAAAGCAAGTTCAATTTGCAACTCCACTTTCGGGTCTTAAGATCTCGAGGGTTGTTGTCGTCGTACCGCCGAGTGCCGCTCGCTCCCAGAGCGACAGATACTCATACTTTTTTTTTTTGCAGGCGAGACAAATAATTACAACGGCTTTGATTTTTTAATTAAGTCGAGCTTGAAGTCGAGATACAAATAGATATGGATATGCCATACAAAAACATTTGCTTGCTCAGACTTTTTATTATCGACGTGGGTTGCTGTTTTATTAATGCTTTGTCTTTTCCTATTTTTCTAATGGATTATGAATATTATATCCATACTCTTGTCGAGAGTTTCCATTCTGCAAAGAAGGGTTCGTAGGTTCCATATATCATAGTATTTCTACTCTTTCCCAAGAACACTCCGGACCAAAACATAAGGAAAGACATTCTTTAAGTAACCATGACAAATCTAATCAAGGAATCCCTTTAGAATCCCAAGCCAACCCTCCCATTTGGAGAAGGGTATTTCCCCAATCGCTCTAACGCCATTGGCCTTTCGCTCCCCTTCGTCTATTGATTATTTGATTTGCTGACTCAACCTGCGAATCGCCCCAATAGATTTGTATTTTAAGATATGTTTATTATTCGTCTAGCGCCTGAGGGATATTGAGCGATAAAAATTGCCCAAAAACGAAATATTTTTAATAAGTTTTTAACTGATCGGAAACTGTCGAGACTTCACTCCAATTGGCGGTTGGCTCCGCTTCGCACTTCAAGATCCAACGAATACCAAGGCCAAATGCAAAGACCCTTTCGAAAACGAGATACCTTCCCATAAGAGATCGCATCGAGTCGAGCAACCCCCACCCCCCACTTGTTATGCATTATGGAGGAGCACTGAGAGATGTGATGTGAAGTGAAGTGATCTTTGGACTGAGGTGCGATACTTTGCAATTAGATTTAATTATTCCAAGTGTTCTATTCACATATGTGGAGGGGAGATCTGAGCAGAGTAGATCTGATGTAAGTCTAAGAGCCAGGCAGCCGGAACAAGTTCGATTTTGGCGCGTGACAACTGCGGGTGGGCCGAGGCGGCAAAGAAATCGGCTTAGAGTACTTGCCCCCAAGCAGATTACATCGGGCACAGAACCAAGCAGACCAAAAAACCATCAGCCACCAGTCGGCAGACACCTTAGAGACCGCTCTGGCTCTGGGCTCTAGCAGGCACCGTAGACCCCTCTCTGGGCTGCGGCAGACAGTGTAGACACTGTAGACACTGTAGACACTGTAGACACTGCAGACACCGCGCTCTGGTGCTCTGTCAGACACGATCCACGAATCGACTCGCTGCCGAATCGCAGTGCTGGGCTGGAAACGAGCTCCGACCGAATACCCAACCGTTTCTCGATTTGAATTTGAAGTTTTTAAACCGTCAACTAAGCACGCTGCGAATTTAGTGGCAATCGAGCCAGAGAGCTGTACAGACGGACACCACGGACGCGACGCGAAGCGAAGCTTGAACCACCGCAAAGCTAACGAAACCGAATCTGAAGATTGCATCTCGCGTGGGTCGTCGGCAATCGGAAGTGCAATTCTCTTCAAAACGCTCATCTCTGCTGGAGCAGCAGGCCCCATCAGCAGCTCTCACTCCCTCTCCCTCTGGAGCGGCGGAACTAATTGAGCGGCGGAACACACTTGAAGATCTCATCTCTCCCTGGGATAATTATTATTACAGTCGAATGTTTTGGCGATGAGGGTTGCCGAAATTGGCAAAAGATACGAGTAAAATTCGGAGCAAAATTGTGCGTGTGAAGGCAAGCGTGAAAAACAGAAGAAAATTGCAAATTACTTACTAATTCAACGAAGACAAAAAAAAAAAAAAAACCATCATGAAGATCTGTCTGGTGAGTGTTTTAACAATTGTTTAATCAGCGATAAATTGTGTAAAAGTCAATGATCTATAAAATCGGCGAATAGCAGTCGTGGACAAATAAAATAATTATGGTCGTCACTTTGGAGACACTTAACATTGGTTAAAACTATGTATGTGTGATTGGCTGGAGACTGGGAACTTCCAGCTGTGTTGGATTGTGTTGCATTTAAAAGTCAATGTTGTCAACATAATATGTGTGCGGTTGGGGGCCTGAGGCAATCGGCGTTTGTGTACTTGTTACTGTGAATTCTATAGATACTAGTGTAGTGTGTGGTTTACATGAACTCTGGGTTCATCTCGTCGCAGCGGTTCTTGTTCTTCATCAGATAGGCGGCCAGGTAGCTGACCGGATCCTCGGGCCTATCCTTGGCCAAAGCTTGAAGTCCGTTCAGCAGGATGGGGGCCACCGTCTGGTCGAGATACTGGCGCACTGGCAGCGAGTTGAGATCCATTCGCGGCTTGCGACAGGTCACAAATGGTGCGGCTCCCTCATCCAACAATTGGGGGTGCGCACGGGCGGCTGAGTTCGGTCTGGAGAAATCAGTGCCATCTCCACCTCCGCTTACAGTTCCAGCACCAGATCCACCGGCGGAAATGCGTGAGGCCGGTGCATCGGTGGGGAAAACATTGCCGTTAAAAGGCATCACTGTCTAAAAAATAATTTTTTTTTTAATACAACTTAAAATTTTTTTTTTCACTTTTGTTTTTACCGATTTTTTTTTTAAATTTTTAAAAATTTTTGTTTTCGAAATAATTTATTTTCGGAGCTCTGCTCCGTACGACTACTGAAAAGGGAATGAAAAATCCTAGATATTTCCCAGGCACCTCGGAAATTCTATGCCGAAGTTCGAAGTCAAGGCCTACTTTCTGGTGTGTTTTTCCTGAATTTTATTTAGCCAACTTCCTTCTCGAAAACTCTACAGTTTGAAGTTCAAAGTCAAGGCCTACTTTCTGGTGTGTTTTCCTGAATTTTGCTTAGCCAAATTCCTTGGTGACATCATTCAAAGATTTCCCACAAATTTCGAATCTCAATCAGCTCGTAGATGGAGCGTAAATCCCTCTGGCCATTCATCTATCACCCATCCATCCGCCTGACCTCGCCCCAAACAATTTATGAGAAGCATCCGAAATTTAAGAGCCTCGTCGCGCTGTCTCATGCTTTGATTTACAGCCACTAGCCACTGGATGGGGAGTCCACCGCAATCCGCAATTATCTCTCAAGTAGACTCCAAGTAATTAAGAGGCTTTTTTTTTGTTTGTTTTTTGTTGATCAAGTGCATTGGGCAATTGTCATAAATTGTGGCCCTAATTTCGTTTAAAACTTTGGAGTGCCGGTCTGGGGACTCCTCAATCTATTCATAACTCCCCTCCACCGTGTTCTACAGATTTATTGCTATTTGATTTTCATCATAGTGATACATAGAATCTGCCAGATAAATTGTTTGATTATCTTTGTAAACACTTTTCTTAATTGCCATCTGTAAATCACAAACACAATCCCTCTCCTTCCTCCACTATCATTTCATCTAGCCAATACGATAGATCTGTCTCTGTTTATAAAAAAAATAAAACAAAAATCTATTGAATAATTCATGGGAAGCGATTAACACATATTTCGCTACGAGAAACGTGAAAACCTGTAGTTTTTGACCCATATTAGAGATTATTTTGCCAGAAATTTGAATATAAATAGAGAGACTCGATCAAAACAGCAACAGAGCTACAGAGCAATAGAGGAATGGGCTGGAGGGCAGCGTTAACGCTATTCCTTAACTGTTTTACGGAGGCCTCAATTGTCTGGCGTTTCAACAGAAATCGTGCATTACATGGCGGCTTCCCCCAGATATTGATCTTCCTCTTGGCAGAGCCACAAAAATGTGAGTGAAAAATGAAAAACAAGAGCCAAAAGCAAAGGTCACTGGCATCGGCAGCGGCATCGAAAGAGTGACGGATGATGATGATAATAGAGGAAGATGATAGTGCTGTATTCAGATACAAGATGAGTGTATCTATGAGTGTATCTATGAGTGGGCAGTAGCACGTGGGCAACATTTTCTCGACAAGGGAACTTGAAGGGAACTACTTGCGCAAAGGTCTTCAGAGACAGAAACAGAGACAGAGAGATAAGTAGAGCCCCAGTTCTTCAAGCATATGCAAATGAGTTTTTGCCGCTTCCAAAAGAAACCAACCCAAAATTAGCGCAACTGAATTAATTAGCAAGTGGAATCACTTGCCACATTTTACTTTTATTATTTATGTGACCTTGAGAGGAGATGGCGGAATGGCCACTGGCCACTGGCCAGCCCAGACCAGGCCCTAACGATTCATTAAGTGACAGAAATGAATTCAAATTGTCTTTGCCATATTGTCTCACATTTCTCTTCTCAGGTGGCAAGCCCCAAAGACATATAGACAGACACCAAAGACAGAGCGAAAGACGGACACCTCTACAGCGTCCAGTAATTATGCAAGTTTCCCCCCTCCCAAAAATGGACGCATGAACTCTCCCGCAGATGTGATATACGAGTATAGCTTCGTTCGTCTGCGACTGATTTCTGTTTCTCATGTTTTTCATTTCACAATTACATATTATTAAATATCATTTCCAATGGGATAACCGCCTTAGCCTTAGGCTTTTATCTTTGGCGTTTTGTTTTCTGCATTTCACGCATACATTTTTGGCCAATGATGCTGCAACTTTTTGAAGAAATTCCGTATAATATTTATAGATCAGTGACCCAATTCCTTTTGATGGATAGAGCTGGCTAATTTGAGTTGATTCTGGGTATTCCGTGTGGTTCACACGATTTTGCCCCCTTATGCGCCTTAAAGATAGAGATCTCGCAGAATATATTTTTGCACTTTTTTTTTAATGGCTTTTAAAACAAATTAGAGACAGCTGCTGTTTTTTGCCACTGAATGGGAAGCGGATCCAAAGGCGGGTCACAGCCATAACTATCGCGGGGGAGGGGAGGGTCAGCCATTCGCCGAGTGAGTGATGTGGGAAGCGCAACAACAGATGATGATGATGGTGATGTTCTGGAGGTGCTAATAAAGCTATAAGGCAATAAAGGTCTATTATATTAGCCATAGAAGTGAACTGATTTGTAAGGAATACTTCTATCAATTGATATGTGCCAGAATACCGCTTCAAACTATACGAGTATCGATATCTAAGGAATCCTTCTACTAGATCCAGCTCTTTCTATTATTCCATTTGGCTGTCTGTCGCCCAACAAAACTGACAGTTTCAACTGCCAACAAGCTGCCAGTTGGCTTTTGTAAGACTGCAAACGAGGCAACCCAGACATAATGCCCACACAAGAACTGACAGCGCGAAACAATGTCGCCAGAGAAACACACTCGTATGGGTATGGGTATGGGTATGGGTACCCATATTTCAGTGGAGTCCCACGCATGTGGCATGAGCTGAATGCCAGATGAGAGGAGCAGAAGCTGAAGGAGGAGTAGCTGCAGGCGCTGCAGAGTTCCACAGATGCTAATCATTTGGCATGGCAACGAAAGTATGCCAAAGTCAGCTGCCGCCACTGGGGCATGGCATGGCCTGGCCCTTTTTCCACAATTTTCCAATTCCTATTACCATCACCATCAGCATTTCGATTTCGAAAGTAAACACACAATTATTAGACATAGTTTGGCGTTGGCTTTTTAGGAATTTTTTTGCATATAACGCTGACACAGATGGCGCCTCAGCTCTGCTGCCAAAAGTGCTTTTCCCACAGCTGTTTGCTACGCGCCAGACGGAGTTCATTTACACGCAGCTCAAGTAAGAGCCCACAAAACAGAGCCACAGCCACAGCCAGAGCCAAAGCCAAAGCCAAAGCCAGAGCTGTTGCCACCAATTACTGTGATTAATTTCGCTTAATATGTGTGCATCGCGAGTGCTCCAAGTGCTCCAAGTGCTAGGCGCAATTATGAAATACGGTTTAGCATTTGTGTGCGGCACTAAAAAAGAAGAAGCCCAGCAAACAGTTGCATGCCCGCACGGTTCACACACCCCTTCCACCCCATCCCGTGGCTGACAATGAAAATCGACTTTGAACAACACGAAAATTAAAACACGAGCGAGCGAGGCGAGCAATGAAACAACTTGCATTGGCCCATGTCGACGGATCGAAGTGCCAGCAGCAGTTGGAGCCTGATCTGAAACTTAATTCGATGGCAGGCAGCAACATCGGTAGTGGCAGTGGCAGTGGCAGCGGCAGCGGCAGCTCTTCGTGCAGCTTTCACTCTCTTTTGGGGCCGAGTGTCAACTGTTGGCCAGCCAAGCAACGGTTCAGTTCGATTTGGTTTGGTTTCGTTTCGTTTCGTTACTGTGGCCCCAAATCCACTTCTTTTGGGGCGGAGGTTGGGCGCCAAACTGTGACAAATTGGAGCAAAACCGGAGGGACAGTAGGGCTGCCAAAGAGCTGCCAAGTGCAGTGCCAAAAATTGCGGAAACATTTCTGGCGACGAAGCGCGAAGTGCGCGAAAAACCAAAACGAATAACAAAAGACTCAAGACACGAACTTGCCAAAAGACACAGGAGGATGAGTCAGAGTCAGAGTCAGCGTCACATCGAATGAATTTTCCACTTGGATACCACACTCTGCCACTGCTGCTGCTGCTTCTGCTTCTGCTTTTGCTTTTGCTCTCCGCCTAATGGCAATGTCGACCTTCATCAGGGGGCCCATTACACAACGGCCCGGCCCAATCATGCCTCTTTCACGCCTCGAAAAATTGGGCACAGAACACAAAGCTCTGTCTGCCATTCTTGTGGCCCCATTATGCAACGCACTTCCATTAGTGTTCATTATGCAACGTTTTTCCATAAATGTGTCATGTAAAAATGGATGAAAGCTGTCGGAAGCGCCGCTTCGCTACTGCTTCAGGGGTTCAAAGCTCTAGAGGTGTGTGCCGTCCGCCCACGTTCGTCGCTTCTGGATGACCTTGAGGCATGCATGCATCGGGCATGCATTACCATACACAACCGCAACACACACATTACCATTTGTGCTTCAATAATTTTTATGATGAACATTTGTTTTGACAGCCCCCACTGACAATTGACAGTCAGTCCAATGCATGGCAATTGCATGATTATCATATCAATTCTATGTTTGGGGCAATTCTGTTCTACTCAAAGGCATGCGTGACTGCTAGAGAGCTATGCGGATTTCACACTTTACAACCCATAACACCCATAACATCCCATAACACACTCGTAACACTCGCAGCATTCACGCAACACAACTCTCTTTGTGGCGGCTGCAGGTATCACACCCCAAGTGCCACAAATATGGAGAGCAGCTGGGGATATGATGCAATGCTACTGCCTGCCAGTCAGTGTTTCGAGTCCAATCTCTGATGCAAATCGAATGGGCGATACCCTCGGCTTGGCCACAACTGAGATGTGATGCAAGTTTGCCTTCCGAATGGGTTTGGCCTGATGCTAAAGAGAAGAATCTGAGAAGTGTTACTCGTATTTATAAGAATTAGCATTGGACAGCAGCTGGCTAATGGAAAACTGGGTTACGTTAGCAACAAATGCAGGCGACCGGACTATGGAACAGATCACTTGAAGGCGTACGAATCTCTTTAGAATCCGATCTGATTGAATGGCTTTTGAATGGAACAAACAAGACAAGCA